TACGCACACAGTAGTGAAGAAGCGAGCAACCGTATTCCGCGTGTCCAACGAGGTCATTTTCCATCCTCGCTCATGGTATGGTAGGGAGTTTCTTATTGGGGCTTAACAGAGGTACATTTTTGTGAGAAAGGTGTAAAAACGAATGCAGTTGTGTATCAAAATACAGTCCTGACGAACCTTGTGGAACCTGTTTCTCATACCATGTTCAATAACAGGCACTGGGTATTCCAACAAAATTCGGCGCCAGTTCATAGAGCGAAGAGCACACAAGACTGGCTGGCAGCGCGTGAAATCGACTTCATCCGGCACGAAGACTGGCCCTCCTCCAGTCCAGATTTGAATCCATTAGATTACAAGATATGGCAACACTTGGAGGAAAAGGCGTGCTCAAAGCCTCATTCCAATTTGGAGTCACTCAAGACATCCTTGATTAAGGCAGCCGCCGATACTGACATGGACCTCGTTCGTGCTGCGATAGACGAGTGGCCGCGCAGATTGAAGGCCTGTATTCAAAATCACTGAGGTCATTTTGAATAAACTTTAGTGTCATAAGAATCTATGTTTTGTTAAGTTCATTTTGGTATATGAATGGTTACATAATGAATAAGCTTGTTTCAATTATTTTACATTAAACATGTGACAGAATTTATGACCTGACTAGGTATATATCATAAATACATAACCCGTTAAAAAATAGTGTTCGATGGTAGCATTTGTATATTTTTTTTATTGCTTAGTTGGGTGGACGAGCTCACAGCCCACCTGGTGTTAAGTGGTTACTGGAGCCCATAGACATTTACGACGTAAATGCGCCACCCATCTTCAGATATCAGTTCTAAGGTCTCAGTATAGTTGCAACGGCTGCCCCGCCCTTCAAACCGAAACGCATTACTGCTTCACGGCAGAAATAGGCAGGGTGGTGGTACCTACCCGCGCGGACTCACAAGAGGTCCTGCCACCAGTAAAAGTTTAGAAAACTATTTTTGTTTCTAAATTACGAAATACCTTTTGTCATTAAAGAGCCGATACTAAGGTTTCAAGCAATCTCGGTTGTGAGGATTTCGATAAAAATCGTAGTGTTTTCGTTTGGATATAACAAAAGTAGTAGAGCCCAATCACTATTTGAGAATCACACGTCTCTGGACGAGAACAAGAATGAGTAATCGAATTAAAATAGCAATCACACATGCCTTGAGGTCTGTGGGCTTCGTTAATCATTTTAAACGTTCTCGATAGCGTAAAAGTTAACCCAATTTTGTATGCAGTTGGAACAGCGCCCTTAGTGGCAAACGTACGCAAACGATCCCATTCCATACAAATTGAGCTAACTTTTACGCTATCGAGAACGTTAAAAAACTCGCACTAAGCACACAGTTGATAACAGGTAGGCTGTGATCTTATCTGCGCAACTTCCTTACGCAAACTCCGCCTCTCAACCCTCATCAAAAAGATTACCTTCAGGTAACTACTACATAATTACGGTACGATGAAAGGATTTCCAACAACAGTAAGTAGCTTTAACTTATGTATACATTTTTATATATTTTTAAACCTGCTGAGTAATGTATCAGTATTAATCGCATATCGTAATATGTAGTTAATTATATAGGTCCTAACGGCGACATATTGTTTCCACCCCAGGCTACAGGCCGCGGACTGGGTACATAAGTTTTTCTAATTAAAATTAAATGAAATCGAAACTCAGTGTTGTCATTTCTTACTATAAAAACTCCTTAAACTTGACAGGTGTAGAAAAAAAAAATCAAGAAAACTCCTTTCAGCTTTCTCTGTAGATTCAGTTCCTGTTGCCTCAAGGGACTATTCTGACGTTACCATGACAGGTAAGCGAAATCACTTGGCTCAGCCTGAAAGAACTTGCTAATATCTATCCTAGCAGCACTACGCTGAATCCATCACCTGACTGAAAAAGTTAATGATGGAGAGCTCCGTTATAACTCGTTACAAAATTATATACATTTTTATTCAAACACACCGCGAATAATCGGTATTGAAACTCACCGATTCATTTCTCCAGAATATATGGACAGAATATACCTATTATACGAAATATTTTAAATGAGTCCAAAAATGAATAGGTATGGCTAGAATCGGCATACAGTTGCTTTGTTGAACGCTATTTAATTTTAAAAGTCATAATTTACGATTTATGTACCTTTATGCAATTTACTATACGTTTACAATTTCAGTTTCGCTAAAATCGTGTTTAAAATATACCATAGACTATATTAAATTATTTTATCATTGTTGAAAAATAAACTGTTAATGGGTAGGTATCTGGTTGAAACACGACTAGCAAATTAATCAAGAAAACGAGTTGGAATATTTATTATTGCATACATAAAATGGATATGTGATGTACATTAGCTGTCGAATATTGAAAAAAAACAACGATCCTTTTGATTTTGTCCACGAATCAACTACGAAGTTGATTTTTTTGTAAATGTTTTTTGATTCACAATTTTATTTGTAACGATATTATTTCCCAAAGAATTTATTTGACTTTGCCCAGGAGGGAAGCATATGACAGACAGTTCAAGATTATCTATATATCTTGGTAAATATGTTAACAGTCAATTCGGCCTTTATTTCAATTGATTTATTTTCTATTCGGTGTATTGTACAAAATGTAGGAAAGAAAAAAACATGCAATAGATTAAGATTAACAAACAAAAATACATTCGCTTTTCTCATCATCGAAGTTCTAGTAAAAATAAATATCGAAGTTCAATCAAACCATTTCAATAATTATAAAAAAAGTAACAAATATATACTACAACTTTCGAGTATTTGTGTTTTATTGTAAGTTCTAGTTCATGTTCTATTTTTTTGTAAAATTAGTTTAAGCTGATGGCCGTGTTGCCAATGCTTTCAATAAATTTAAAAAAAAAAAAATAAGTATACGATTACAACAGCCGAAATATTAAAAAACCTTTATGTGTGAACGATGTCTTTGTCTATTTGATATGTTCCGTCACAATTTCAAGCGGAAGGCGGTAACAGTTCAGAAAAAAAAAAACGCAACTAGGTGCACGTGAATGAAGTGAAACTTCTTTTTCGATATTTATTATTGTGGTTTTCTTCACTTTTCATCCTTATATCAGATTGTCCTTTTAATAGGGAATGCTGTGTATAGGAAATGCGACATCTTCAACATTTATATTATAATATATATTTTAAATTATAGATAGAAAAATAAATACTTATATTTTTTTATTTTGAAATACATCAATAAAATATTGGACGCTACTCGCTACTTTTTTTTTTCCTACCTATGCTGATAGCCTTGAGAGGCTATTTCAGCTTCACCCTAACGTTTGTAGGTGAGCTCACGGGGCTCAAACCGGAGAGATGCTAACTAGTAAGAGCAGTGCTTCGCAGAATCTACCACCGGATCGGAAACGCGACCCACTGAGAAGATCCGGCGAGAAACTCAGTGGGCTGTGTCTATGGGTTAATTCGCTCGTCGAGCCCTTCGTCGCAAGCGACGGGTTCGACGAGGACGGTGACCGGTGCTTGTGGTGCCTAAAAACACCGTTAATGGATCAGGAAGATCCATAATGACGTGCTTTGGGTGACGTCGACGGTTTACCATACGGTCTACAGGGTCGGGTATGTAGTTTCCAGCGGCCACGACAAGAGGGTTCTTATATCGTGCCGCCTTCTCAAAATGGCGCAACGATGCCGACTGTAGATACTTACTAACGGAATCGAGCTCCAGGTCATCGTGGAGATCCACGTTCCTCAGGAACCATGGCGCTCCGACGGAGTCGCTACTAACGCTCGCGCTGGCCTGTAACAAGGTATACTACGCGTATGTTCGAGTGCCACACATTCACTCTCGCTCTCTTTCTTTCAGTATGGTAGCGTTAAGCGTTTAACGCAACGTTGACGGAAGTTTTTTTTTTTTTTTTTTTTATTGCCTTTGTATGCAGACGGGCATACGGCCCACCTGATGGTGAGTGGTTACCGTCGCTCATGGACTTCAGCAATGCCAGGGGCAGAGCCAAGCCGCTGCCTACCGAAAAGTTGCATTAGAAGTTTCACTTCAAAAATTTTTTTAACTTTACGCAGAGAATTTGAATATTTCAGGGCAGTCAAGTACATTATTTGACCTAATTAGTAAGTCATATTATCATTTTATACCGTTAGCGCTCATGATCACTAAGTGTTTAGTAGGGAATGTTACTAACATTAGCAGGTTTATTTGGGCCACTACACTCCCTTTGATAACCAATGCCCTACGTTCCATGTCCATGTCCATCTTTTAATTCCTCAGTTACAATGTGCCCTAAATATTTTAACTGGGTTACTCTTTGTACAGGTTAGCCACAGAGGATTACAGGCGGGACATGAGGCGGTCTTTTGCTTACACCTCTGAACATCAACAGCTCACTTTTACTTGGGTTATATTTTAGGCAATGATGCTCGGCATAGGATTCACATATGGACAGCAACTTTCTTAACTCACACATTGATAGAATCAGCAGCACCATCTTATCTGCTTTAATAAAGATATGATATAGATGTGATAGAAATACAATTCTACAACCTATTCAACGTTACCAACAATTCTACGTTAATGCTTAATGTGTTTAATTAGCTTAATCTGTATATTTCATTAATTTCAGGTGCTTCGATAGTTTGCTTTTCTTTTTGGAATGGTTGCATTGAGTAAGTTATTTAAACTAGTCGTTTGAAGAAATAATTAGACAATTACTAAAATATGCATACCAACTAAAATGTGCACAGAAAGATCACTCAGGTTTCCAGTACAGGTTGCGTACAGTATAAACCAGACGAAAAGTTTTCTTTTAATTATAAGGTTGATCCTTCTAGAATAGCAGTTTTTGTAGTTCCTCTAGAAAAATGTTAGTATAACCAGGCCATAAAATCTTTAAAAAAATTATGGCAATCTATAATCGTTATGTCAATGTCAGGATTGTCAATTATCACCGCTGTCAGACACTGGCCTTTCGGAGATGGGGAATTTGTCAATAAATCTAAAGCCTAATTTTATGGGTTTATTAAAATGTTTAAACAGTATAAATTGGTTTATTGTGTTTTTTAGTCTAATTAATTTATCCATGTGCATTTATGAGGATCAAATCGGGAAGTTCGACTGGTAACTATGTATTTTAGGTTATGCCTCTTGTATGTCATCGTTAGTTTTCAAGGATTATTTTTCTAATAAAATTAACTTTTTCAGGCGCCAAAGCTACGTTGGGCGTATAAAGTTCGCCCAATTCGATACGGTTTCAACCGCCAGGAAGATAATAGTAGCGACCGAAGAGAATGTTTTAGCTGCACTCAATCTGAAGACAGGTACGCCGATTTTAATTATTTAAACTTTTAAAAAGAATTTTAAGTTTAAAATACAGATATGGATAGATATGTACATCAATAAGTTCACAGTGTTCGTTGATTTTATGGTTGAATAATTAAAACATGATATAGTCAGTAGTTTTAAAATTGCTATAGACAGGGCTCCACCGATTCATTAGGGTACATATAGTTCGTTTGTCCTATCGTTTTGATAAGAAACCCATAGTTAAATCTTACTGTTTATTATCCCTATCACTATTTATGATAACTTGATTTCTTAAATTTTTTTTATGGTACCTTATGGTACCATAATTTTTTTTATTGTTTATGCATTATAAAATCAACACACAGTTAAACCATATTAACTAATAACTATAATTATGCTATAACTAATAACTAATAGCTATCTAATAACTATAAACTGGACCAAGGTGGTCACGACCCTCAGTAATGAGGAAACGACAAAGAAGAAGAAGAAGATAATTATGCACATGTCTTGTTCACATATAGCAAATTTTTTATTGCTTAGGAAAATCATAGATTAACTTATCTTATTAGGTAGTAGTCTGCTTAGTGGGATTTAGGGAAACCAGAGCTTAGTTATAAGTTACCTGGTTTAGTAATGTAGGCCTACAATAGCACCACCTTGTCTTTTTACTAAATATACAGAATTTAAAAAAAAAAGATTCCCACATCCTAGAATTTGAATAATAACATTCTCTCAGTGCTCTTTTTGTATCATATTCACTAAAGCTGTACTAGCATAAGTCAGGTACCTATCCAAGTAAGCTCACTAAATGATTTATCACTAGTATATATGCAATTTTTTGGTAAAAAATAAAATTGGCAATTTAATGTCTGTTAAAATACACTCAAGATTTTTAAATTTAACAGGGCAGGTTGTGTGGAGGCATGTGTTTGAGAGTACATCTTCTGGCAACATCCAGTTGCTGCATCTATCAGATCAAATAATCACCGTGACGGGCTCCAATCCTTATCTCGTTAGAGGATGGGACTTGAGTACTGGTACGTAAAAATATTTAATTGGCTTTTTAGGCGTGATGATTGTTTTGCAGATTGAAAGGGGAATGAGTGTGTCAACTGGGCCATCAGTATCATTTATTTCGTTTATATTTGATTCTACACAAGTATTTCAATTTCTAAAACTGTATCTATAGGACCGAAACAAATTAATCATGATTATGGATATTATTCGGTTATCTAGTAATGAAGTCATTGTTATTGTCGTTAAAATTGTTAGTACGTTTGTATGCCTTCTATAGCTGTAAATAATTGTACTAATTACTAATAATATGGTGCAACATAAAAAAAAGAATCAGTTGCATACATCAAGTAAGAAAACACTTGATTTTAATGCAAAATCAGTTTGCATTAATACTAGACATTATTGCTGTATTCATAATTTATAGTAAGTAATCTAGTATTCATCATTATATATAGTACCATAAAAGGCATAATCAAATATTACTAATAATAAAAAAGTATACTAATAATAATAAAATATAATCATGGGTACTTTCTTCAGGCGTACTAATTTGGGAATGGGGCCTCACCCTCCAGAAGAATGAGCACACTGATTTCTCCGAATGGTGGGTCCAGAATGGTCTGCTTGTTCATATGGTGCCCAAATTTGGCTCTCACATTGAGGTCAGCGTCTACAATGTAGCTACTGGACATAATCGAGGAGCAACTTCAAAACTACCTGCTGTTTGGATCAATGAGGGGTTTGTATTTTTAATCTGCTAACTCCAATTAAAGTACTGATTGTACCATTTTAAATTGTAAAAATAATAATAGACTGAATATAATCAAATTCTAATCAATAATTGATTAATTGTCATATTATTGATAAAAATCATATGCTGAATTAATGTAGAGGACTCAGACAGTGGTCTTAAAAATGTATTTTTATTCTAATGTGTTTACTTCAGTCATCCATATCAAACTGGGGCAAACTTTGTTGTGGTCTTTATGCATTCTATTGACTTCTAACATAAGGTGGGTAGAGGAACCTATGGCCTGATTTTATTATCTCTGCTTTCGGTCTTCACATATGCAAAGAATCCAGCCAAAATGTTGTCCGTTCATTTATGATAACTTTTTAAACTAATTATAAATAGTGGTAGATTCAAATAATAATCAATAATTTATTTCATATTCCATAGCTGTGTCTTATCTCCACCATACTACACCTGTATCTCTGGATCTCCCGGAAACCAGCTGCTCTTATCCATGGATGTTACGTCTGATGCTGTACAAATCATAAGCAAACCTTTAGCAGAATACACAACGGCAAGAAATGCAAACCTGAATCCCTTCGACACTAACACAGTCATACCAGGGTTTCTATTAAATGAAAAAATCATATTGATCCGTGGCAATAAGTTTGAAGCGATCAATATAGCTGTCAGTGAGCCATCTGCAAGTGTTGCTTTAGTTGATAGCGCTAGTGGACCATTGGTTTTGCAGACTTGGAATGACGAGGCTAAGGTTGGTCAAATAGCTTTTACTCGTTTTTAATAGACTTAAGGGAACTTTATCTTTAAATGAAGGTAATGTGGTAATAAAGCTTTATGATATGAAAATGTGTCACGTGTTGGAACAAGATTAAAATACGTTTTTGAGTATTTTTTTGCCTCTAAGTAAGAAAATTTGGTAGCATTGAGATAATAATTTACCGTATCATATACAGGGTTTCACCTTAACGGCCCACAATTTAGTTTCTGGGCAAAGGGTAAATGAGATTGGCTGGTCAGACCGCAGTCTGTCGATACCGGAGCCGGAGTTGTCTGCGGTGATTTGCACTAAAACAGCCAGGGAACAGCATGTATGCAGGATCCTGGTCACTGCTGCCGATGATGCCAGCCATTTGATACAACAAGAAGGTTAATACTATTTAAAACTAGCTTTGTTGAAAAAAGAATACTTCAAGAAATGTATTTGAAAAAAAAAAAAAAAAAATTACAACCGAAACTTACGAAAATCTATCAGTTGGGAGTTCAGTATGCGGTGTTACCAACTCTTGTCACCGGACCGACTAATTAAAAACCCGGTAGCGGACAATGAAAAGGACTCCGCTTAAAAATTGCAAAATCTATTTTATTCCAATGAGAAATATTAGATGATGGTGTTACCGTGCTGGTAGCTTAAAACCTAATATTAAAATAATATATCATAATTCCTTTGTACCAGATGTATCAGTACCTTTCATGACTAATACAACCTTATTTTATTTTGTAATCTTATCGCTTATGACTATGACACATCTATACTTTGTGGTATTATTGTTTTGAAGGATATCAATGCATTTATATTTCAGGGAGAGTGCTATGGACTCGTGAGGAAGCCCTGGCCAATGTGGTGGCTGTCGAGTTTGTGGATTTGCCAGTGTCAGACTTGGATGCAGCTATTGAATCGGAATTTGATCAGAAAGAAGGTATTATATAAAACTTGGTTAATGATCAACTAAAGACATATTGTCTCTAAATAATTAAATACATAACCTACCTAATTTTATATGTAATATTCATTTATATTTCATATATATTTGTTAATAATTTAACTGGGTTTTGGAAGTAACGAACTTTTTTTTCTTATTTTTTTAGCAGCCAAGATGCACAGTGAGTATACTATAGCAGTGTCTGTGAATGAACGAATGAATGAATGTTTTAGTGTAACCTTTTTTTTTTGTAATTCCTTCATTCATCAATAGTTGCATTTTAAATTTTGTGCTTTCATTATTAATATTGAGACTTCTATAATAGCTATAACACATATTCACTAATCAATACCATATTATGTTTTTGGTTTCCAAAATAATATAATAATATATTTTTATTATTTATATCCTTACAAGTAAGATCTTGTAAATTTTCATTTATTGCATGTTATAAGCATACTCAATGTTTGTATATTTAAATATATTCATTTCAATCTTAATTCTAAGAATGCAATCTAACCCATTGTTCTAATTTTTTAAATTAAACATTCTCAAATGAAACACTTGCATATTGCTGGTGAAGCTATTACTATGTTATACAGTAAAAACTGCAGCTTTCTTTTGTTTTAAGCATAACATTTTATAAATCGTACATATAGTTAAATAAATTTATCGAATCTCTTCATCAGATGAAATAAGAAATGAGGAGATCCGTAGGAAAACATTATAACTGATATAGCGCAAAGGATTGAGAGGTTGAAATAGCAGTGTGTATTTGATGGGTCCGAAGAGCTCTCTTGTAGCGTACCGGAACACGTGGCGGTGGTGGATCTCCCTCGAGGTGGACCCAGGACCTGTTGAGGGTCGTGGCGAGGCTTGGAGGGGGGGGGGGGGTTATGTCCAGCAGTAGACGCCTTGGGATCATTGGGAAATTCATATTGTGCCAAATAATGGTTTATTATTTATTTAATAATTATACATATAATATAGTTTATATTATTACTTGTTTAATATAATACTAAGATGCTTATATTTTTTTATCAATTGAAGGTACATTAAGCCTTGACTGAATTTTGATTTTGTTCTACAAAAAACATTTTCATGTCAGAGCGGTAATGCACTTCGCTTTGAAGCTTAGGATGAACGTTATACTATCCAACTGAGAGTTAGACCGCTTATCTTAAGGCGGGCGATTGCATTCACTTTGTGACGCCCATGGGTTTCATTTAATACCACCGGAGTCTTGAGCATTGCGATATGCATTAAAGAAACCACCCATAATAATGAGTGAATTAATCTAACATTTATTTATTTATTGCTTTGGTGAATGGACGAGCTCACGGGTCGCCTTAAGTGGTTACCGGAGCCCATAGACATCTACAACGTAAATGCGCCCGTAAATGCGCCACCCACCTTGAGATATAAGTTCAAAGGTCTCAAGTATAGTTACAACGGCTGCCCCACCCTTCAAGCCGAAACGCATTACTCCTTCTGCGGCAGAAATAGGCAGGGTGGTGGTACCTACCCGGACACACAATACGCCTTACCACGAGTTTGTTTCCACTGTTACCCCAGGTTCGGTATTGGCGGCGTTCACCCGGCGGCTGCAGAGTCAGTTCCAGCAGCTGCAGGGCGCGGTGCGGACGCTGCTGGCGGGGGATGCGGCGGCCGCGGACGAGCCCCCGCCCCTCGTGCGCGACTACTTCAATCTGCACAAGATCATGGTGCTCCTGACGGACGCCGGCAAGGTATAGACCCATAGGAGCCCATAGACATCTACAACTTAAATGCGCCACCCACCTTGAGATATAAGTTCTAAGGTCTCAAGCATAGAGGTACACACAATACCTAACTAACACAGGGTTAGAGCCATCACTTTAATGCTAACAAGTTTTGTTAGTCGAAGAAATTACACAATTGAGAGTTTAGACCCCTTGTCCCACGGCCTTTTAATGTCAATGGGCCCCAACGCCTTAACTTAACGCCAAGACTTTGCCAATGTCCATACCATGTTGAAAACACCGGTTCTCGTCCGATCACCGAAGTCAAGCAACATCGGGTGTGGTCAGTACTTGGATGGGTGACCGCCTAGAAACACCACGTGATGTTGGCTTTTTCGGTCATCGCCCTAACTGAACCCGTCGCTTGCGACAAAGAGCTCGACGAGTAAATTAACCCACACTGCACGCACCACACTGGACACAGCCGACTGAGTTTCTCGCTGGATTTTCTCAGTGGGTCGCGTTTCCGATCCGGTGGTAGATTCTGCGAAGCACTGATCTTGCTAGGGTTCATGTTAGCAACACTCAGGTTTGAGCCTCATGAGCTGAAATAGCCTCTCAAGGCTATCAATATAGGTAGGAAAAAAATCCAAGTGGCCCGTGACGTCATTAACCCATCTAAAAAAAAAGCTTATAAATTTGTCTCCACACATCAATATGAGTATTTTTAACTTAACACAACCAAAAATATTCTTTAGTGACCTATCACACAGGTCTCTCTCTACCGAATATTCTTTTGTTTTACAATCGATTTTATTGTTGCTTATTTGAGATTAGTTTATTTTTCGGTCACGTTGCGAGGAAAAAGGGTGAAAATCTCGAAAAACTTCTCATCACCGGCAAAGTGGAAGGAAAGAGGCCTAGGGGGCGTAGTCCCATGCGCTGGTCCGATCAGATTAAGACGACTTTGGAATCCAGCATCAATGTCGCTATCCACTGCGCGGAGGACAGAAGTGAATGGAGGAACATAGTCCTAACAAAATTGCTCAGTAAAGGTCACGACCCTCAGAACTGAGGAATACGACGCACAGGGAGAGATTTGAGATTAGATATTATAATTTGTTGTTTTTGTTCTCAGATCTTCGGCATGGACAATTTGTCGGGCGAGATACTGTGGAAGCTGTACGAGCCGAACCTGAACACGGAGGCGGCGGTCATGTTCACGCGGCGGTCGGCGCGCCACCCGCCGCACGACGCCTACCTCACTATCGTCGGAAAACACGAGGTCCGAGGACATCTGTGATGTTTCATTATTACTTCCGTCTTGCTCGAAGGGTAGGACAACAATGTTAGGGGTTAGCAATGTTAGCAGTCATCCATAGTGCGTTTCCAGAGATATTTTTTGCGACGTACCATCCGACTCTGCAATGAGCTTCCCTCCACGATGTTTCTTGAGCATTATAACATGTCCTTCTTCAAACGAAGCTTGTAGAGGTCACTTAACGGTAGGCAGCGGCTTGGCTCTGCCCTTGCTGAAGTCCGTGGGCGACGGTAACCACTCACCACCAGGTGGGCCGTATGCTCGTCTGCCTACAAGGGCAATCAAATAAAAAAAAATGGGGACATTGTCTGTATCTTGGCTTAGATGGAAGCAGTCGCCCATCAAACAGCTTTCTAATACAATCATCCCGGTACCAGACCCCCGTCCAGGACAGCGGTCTCCCCGATGATACCATTATCTCGGTACCCAGTTGCAGTTTGAAACAAGCTCACAGAGCTTAGAATGAATTGAATTTAACATATTGTCGTTCCCGGTTATGTTTGAGACGCCAAGTAGAAAAAAAAAAAATATGTCGACAAAACTTTTTCGCTGGCCAGGCTGTAATAAAAATGAAACCCGCAAAATTATAATTTACGTTATTACTGGTGGTAGGATCTCTTGTGAATCCGCACGGGTAGGTACCACCAGCCTGCCTATTTCTGCCGTGAAGCAGTAATGCGTTTCGGTTTGAAGGGTGGCACAGCCGTTGGCTGGAGGAACTTGGAGCTTCAAGCGTCTAGAGTTGCGAGTGTTAGATCTGAAGTCTCACATAGCGGTGGATGGATATACTGCCAAACCAATATCATAGGCAATTGTGCATGAACTAAGCTCCTTAATTATATTCAACAGGAAACAGGCAACGGTCTGATCGTCAGTTTAAATCCGATCCGAGGCACTCCCGTCGGGGAGCAGACCTTGCACTTGGACGTGCAGATCTTACAATGTGCGGTCCTGTACAAAGCAGACGCTCAGAAGCTCCACGCGCTCATACTGCTCGATAAGGACGAGAACGTGCAGGTAAATTTGCAACACTACTCATATTGTTACGCGCTGGGGCTCGGGATAAATAAAAATTCTACCGAAGTATAAATTAGTACTAGCACTTAGAACACTCACAGAACACTTGAAAATTCTTAATTCACTTCTTCCGCTTCGCTTCAGGTGATCCATCCGCTGTTTCGCTTCGAATAGCTACAATTACTGACTGACTGCGTGCCATCTCTGCAACGCTTTTATAGTCGATACCACATCCCTAGAATTATCGAGATATTTCACACAAGTCGAGTATTTTCGATGTGTGTTTCCGCAATCTGATAATAGATGGCGTTGTACTTCGCGAGCGTTCTAGATGCTACCAGATCCTTTGATATTCGTTTTGGCTATTCGGCGATAGATGGCATTACAATATGAAGGGTGACATTTTTAAGCGTCATTTTTGCAACTTTACCGGATGGCCATTTAAAGTTTAAAAATTGGAAAAAAACATCAAAACAAAAAAATCTTCTTCAGCTATGTGTAATGGAGTAAACTTAATTGGGGTTCAAATAAAACCACCGAACTATTTATGCTAATACAAATAAAATGTACTTTTAATTACAAAGATAAATGTCGCTCTAAGCCAAACGGCTTTGCACCCCTCGATGTTCCCTCTACACACATGGTGGTCGCCGACAACACCGCTATGTTTTATTTGTTGTGTTTGGTATCCGCAGATCCTGCCGGAGTCCTCGGCGCCGCTGGTGGAGAACATGTACATGCACGTGGCCGACCGGAGCTCCGCCGTGGTCCGGGGCTACGCCTTGCGGCACGACGGGGAGGTGAGGTCAACGCCCTACATGGCCATTCTACCATATGGAACTCGCGTGTCACGATGTTTCTCTGAAGCAGAATCGGAATCTAACTACCCGACTTTTCTTTTAAATATGTGTATTTGTTCAAATTTTTAGGCAGGATAAACAGTTTTTGTTTTTATTTCAAATGTTTTCTTTATTCTACAGCTTGTACGTATAGGGTATGTCAAGTCGGATACGCTAGATAAGTGTTGTATACGATAGTCGATTTACGAAAAAAAATATTCTCAAATCAATTAGTTTCGGAATAAATAATAATAACAATAAAAAAATATTTCTCTCTTAAAGGTATAGTGCAAATACAAATAGAAATTTACCTTATAATTTATTTTGTAAACTTTTGAAAGAGTTGAAGTCTGTACTAGGTTCAAAGACTTGTATTACTGATGTCCAGGCTCCCTCCTTCTTAAGATAGGTTAGGTTAGGTTAAGTCGTGAACAGATGCTGCGGACTAGTGTTGAGAGATCATAAAGAGTACTGGGCTCATTTTTTATAGTTTTTTTTAGTTATGGCACAGTAATCGTTCCTCTGCATATTGACAAGATCGTGGTGAACTTTTGTTAAGCGTAGTTTTTGGTTACAGCGCGTGTCGGCAAAGAATATTTGGTCGGTGGACCTGTCCGGGGGCGGGTCGCAGCGCGTGGTGTGGTCCGTGAGCAAACCGGCCGCCGAGCGCATCCACTCCGCGGGCCGCGTGCTGCCGGACCGCAGCGTGCTGTACAAGCACCTCAACCCCAACCTCGTGCTGCTCCTCACCGAGGGACCGGACCCCGTGCACAAAGGTAACGTGAAGTCGACGTGGCCTAAAGGATGGGACGTCCGGTGCATTCGTATCGAGCGATGCAACGGTGTTCGAATTCCGCAGGCGGGTACCAATTTTTCTAATGAAATACGTACTCAACAAATGCTCACGATTGACTTCCACTGTGAAGGAATAACATCGTGTAATAAAAATGAAACCCGCAAAAATTATAATTTGCGTAATTACTGGTGGTAGGACCTCTTGTGAGTCCGCGCGGGTAGGTACCACCACCCTGCCTATTTCTGCCGTGAAGCAGTAATGCGTTTCGGTTTGAAGGATGGGGTAACCGTTGTAACTATACTGGGACTTTAGAACTTATATCTCAAGGTGGGTGGCGCATTTACATCGTAAATGTCTATGGGCTCCAGTAACCACTTAACATCAGGTGGGCTGTGAGCTCGTCCACTAATCTAGCAATAAAAAATAAATTAAAAAAAAACCTGCACTTTTGTGTGCCGCCAAATTTCAAAAGTGTGCCGCCAAATTTTGCGAATATATAATAATGTTAATATTATTAAATTATATCATTTTAAAAGAAAAATATTTTAAACATGAATATATATTTAAATCCACAAAAAAAAATTATAGTATATTTTAGTTTATTTCGTATATTAAAATTTTTTGATAAACTATTTATGCAGTGTGTTGTAGTAAGTTAATAATTTTTATCTTTTTTTTTGTTTTGCCGCCAAATTTTGAAATCGTTAAATATGTGCCGCAACAAAAAAAAGGTTGAGAATCACTGATCTATAGTGTTTTTTACGGATGTTTCGTTATAACTACTGAACCATGCATCTGATTGACTTGAATCTTGGTATTCATGTAGAAAATATATGTACTTAATGGATAGGCTTATATTTATATGAGTTTTGGATTCCCTAATAATAATGACAATAAATAATAATGTTAATTACAATCAATCCTGTCATCCCTTTTCGGCTTGACGTTGAGTTCTGGGACACCCTGTATAAAGTTCGGTTTATTTATTTATTATTATTTTTGATTATTTATTTCATTTGTTTATTTATGTTCGGTTCTTAATATATTTTTCTGTATGCACCTGTCTTGAATTGCAATCCAGATTGTTATGTTAAACATTTAAACTTATAATTTATATGATTGTAATTTGTTTTGTGCATCAATAAAATAAAAAAATAAAAAATAAATAAATAAAAAGTAATATCGTTCGGTTCGTGTCCAGACGTGGTGGTGGCGACGTGCGTGGACGGCGTGTCGGGCGGCGTGCTGAGCGCGCACGTGCACCGGCGCGCGCGCCGCCCCGCGCTCCCGCTGCACTCCGAGCACTTCCTCGCCTACCTCTACTACAACGACAAGCAGCGCCGCCACGAGATCGGTGAGGAGAGAGCTTTGTTCCGAATCAGGAATAAGGAGATTGGCAAGGGAATTGTCGCAACTGGAGGTGTTGGAAGATTGAAGCGGTAGGCAGCGGCTTGGCTTTGCCGCTGGCATTGCTGAAGTCCATGGGCGACGGTAACCACTCACCATCAGGTGAGCCGTATGCTCGTCTGCCTACAAAGGGCAATAAAAAAAAATTTAAGTGGCAGGACGGGGCACATCACCCCTAGAACACATGCCGCTGGGACCGAAGAGTCCTCGAGCGGTGACCGCGTATTGGAACACGCAGCGAGGATAGACCTGCCACGAGGTAGACAGGTGACCTGGTAAAAGTCGCGGGAAACCGCTAGATACAGGTTTTGTAGGACCAGTTATAAGGTATTTTGGGAGAGGCCTATGTTCTATGTTGTTGGATGAACAAAGAAAAACGTTTAAGTAAGCTGTATCAATAATTTGAAAAGCAATTGCAATGGCTTTGAAATTTTAGATATTTATCTTGGTCAGAAATGATATTAAATAGAAATAGCGGCGTCGTCAGTGCGCAGTGGCTGGGTAGTTATCTGGGCTGGGTGTGGTTGCAGCCACCCTGGAGCTGTACGAGGGCCCGGAGCGCTGGGTGCCGGCGGGCGCGGCGTTCAGCTCGCTGCGGGGGGCGCGCGCGCCGCACGTGCAGCGCCACGCCTACATCGTGCCCGCCGCGCCCGCCGCCGCCGCGCTCTCCGCCACCGAGCGCTCGCTCACCGACAAGCACGTGCTGCGTGCGTATACACCCGCCACATATCTATACTATACTAGCTCTACGCGTCCGCTTCGCTGGTCATTTAAAATTAACATTATTATTTCTCAACCCCACAAAGATTCTCATCATTAACGCCCCCGCAACTGGCGTAGGGATCCAACACTCATATAAATATTAGCCTATCCATTAAGTACATGTATTTTCTACATGGATACCAAGTTTCAAGTCAATCGGATGCACGGTTCAGTAGTTATAACGGAACATCCGTAAAAACCACTGTAGATTTATATATTAGTATAGTAATATTATAAATATGTAATATTATAAAGAGGAAAGATTTGCTTGTTTGTTTGTATTGAATAGGCTCCGAAACTACTGAACCGATTTGAAAAATTCTTTCACTGTTTGGAAGCTACACTATTCCCGAGTGACATAGGCTATATATAATATTTTTTGAAAAAAATTAGGGATCCTTACTGAAACTCCAATAATGTAACCCAAAGTGTAAAAAAACTACCTAAAATTCTTTACATCGCGTGCGCTACTTCCCAAGCGAAGCCGAATAATTCATTTATTTGTATAGAATGCAGGTACAAGTATGGTCTTAGTGTATAATATATTGAATCCCACTACATTCTGCCTGTTGGCATACAAATTTGAAGGAGAAACTTACAGCTAATTTAAACTAGGTATTAAGATAATTTTAAGAATGAGATCACAAAAAGTTTATTATAAAAGTTGAGATCTTAATAAGGAGAGTGTCACAATTCATTATTTAGGAGATCGGTAACAGAGTAATAACACTTCTTTAATAACAGCGAAGGCAGGAGTTGTTTAAATTTCCATAAGGGCTGATCCTTTATACTATTCGGTAATTTGTTGAATATAGTAGGAGATAAGGTTTTTTTCAGCAATGCAGTGTTAAATTGACCTGTACACAATAAATTCTTATATTTTGATCTCATTGCAGTGGTACGTGTCCTTGTATCATTCAATGTAGGAAATAATAGAATATTAGTTTTAACAAAAATTGTTATTTCTAAAATATAAATGCTAGGAAAAGTAAGTATATTGTATGTCTTGAAGATACAACTGTCTGTGACCTTAAGACTAAATATGGTCCTTAAGCACTGCAATATGCGGCTATATGTACGTACGTTTGTGTGGCAGTGGCGCTGAGCACGGGCGCGATCGTGGAGCTGCCGTGGGCGCTGCTGGAGCCCCGGCGCGCGCTGTCCCCGGCGGGCGAGGCGCGCGAGGAGGGCCTGGTGCCCTACGCGCCCGAGCTGCCGCTGCCCGCCGAGGCCGTCGTCAACTACAACGCGACGCTGCTCCGCCTCACCCGCATACACACCGCGCCCTCCGGACTCGAGTCCACCAGCCTCGTGCTCGCCACCGGACTGGGTACGGCCTCATCAATCCAAGCTTAAGCCTCGGCGTCATCACCGACGGAGTGACCTCTCTATGTGATACTAGATGTTCCACGCCCCTGATCTCCACCTAAACTGGTGTAATAGTACCATCTCGAATCATCTAGGCACACGAAACATTACATTAAAAAAACATTACGATTTAAACTGTTAAAATTTTGTAAAATTGTTTTCTTATTTACTAATAAAAACTAGTCATTTTTAATGATATTAGAATGTATACAGTAAAAGATCCGCGAATATAAAAACCTTTAGCCGCAAATATAGGAATTGGGTCGCTGTTTTTTTTATTTTTTTTATTGCTTAGATGGGTGGACGAGCTTCCAACCCACCTGGTGTTAAGTGGTTACTGAAGCCCATAGACATCTACAGCGTAAATGCGCCACCCCATCTTGAGATATAAGTTCTAAGGTCTCAAGTATAGTTACAATGTGAATAGTGAAAACGTGGATTAACGAAGCGCGAATAAGGAGCTTTTACTATATTGTAAACCAAAATGCTTATTGTTTTTTTGTGAAAACTGAACTTCGAATCGATAATTAGACTCGGAACTAACTATAACAATCGTTGTCCCCCAGACCTGTTCTACACGAGGATAGCTCCGTCGAAGACCTTCGACCTTCTCAAGGACGACTTCGACTATTACCTCATCAGCGTGGTGCTCGCCGCGCTGGTGCTCGCCACGTACAGCACCAAGTACTTCGCCGCGAGGAAGATGCTCAAGATGGCCTGGAAGTGAGCAGCAGAGTCTGCAGCGCGACACCAAATATCGCTTACTTACAACGGAAACGACAAAACTGGTACACGCTCACTCACAATAACCGGAAATTACATATTTAAATCTGTTGGGCACGTGCGTTGTCCCTGAGCGGCCGTCTCCGACTGGGTTCGTTGTGGCCGGCGTTACCATGGCAACACTGAGTAGCACAGCGCCATCTATCGCACGTACACGTAAATTATGAAGCATTTATCACCGGCCCGTTATGATTAATGAATTTATAGTATTGTTAATTGATAATTCTTCGAAAGGACACATTGACGATATGCGAGTATTATGAAATAGTTGAGTAATTGTTGGATTGTGCACATGTAAAAAAAATCTTAATAGTCCAATTGAGCTGTTTTCGTTTATAAAGATGCGAACCACGAGATGTTTGTTAATATTCAATAATACATTTTAGGCAAATTTACAAATTCTAAACCTTTTTTCTCTTTCCTAAACCTTTAAGGATTCTAAACTAAATTCTGATCGGACGTGGCCATGACGCATTTTAGTTACAAACTGTAAAACTTTTTTTTTTAAGTTTTACGAATTCTAAATTAAATTCTGACGTGACCGTGACGTCTTATACTAATCAATTGTATGATTATTGACAACAGAACGAATTAATTCAGTTAAATACAAAATAGTCGTTGTTAAAATAAACATTTCGCGTTATTATTTATTTTGTAATATCGTTAATGGCACTCTACGGGTTTGTTGTTCCGATGTCAAACGTTAATATAATTATAATGGGAACGGATTGCATGGTTTTTGTTATTTCCATGTCGCCCACACACAGCCTGACAAGCAGCTGTCAAAAAATTATTGTCATTGTTATTGACAGAGGTGACGGTTGGGTTTGGTTACAACTCTTATTCTGTTGTTTTATGCCCTGAATCACTAATTAATTCCGATATAATATCCTTTTAAAAACATATAAATCAATATAGATTCTCAAATTCTATAACCAGTCGATTAATACAAATCGGCAAGCTGTTTGAAGCTAATTAAGTTGCTAGAATCAATAATTAATTTATATAAATATAGATAGATAGATAGCGTTTTCACCACTGAACACAAGATATTCAATTCTTCACAAATAGATGCATGATTTATCATTTGGTTACGACGTCATACCTATGGGGTCATGTAAAGTTTTTTGTCCCTTTCTTAAGATCTTGACCATCAGATTCTAAGACCAATTGTGAAGTAGATATTGTTTTAGAAGATTCTCTTCTTTTCATTAGAAGATTTTCTTCGATTTGTAATCATGGAAGTTCATACGGAAATCTTATGAGTCTAAAATAGAGAATTATTGTGTGGTCTAGAAATAATTACTTATTATATACTTTATATACGACATTTTGTCTCTCGGCCGTGTGCCTGATAGCAAATAAAAAATAAAAAAATGACGCGCGTGCGACTTGGTGCACGTGAAAGAAGTGAAACTTCTTTTCCGGTGTGTAGTATTGTGGTTTTCTTCATTTTTCATCCTTAAATCAAATTTCCCTTGTAATAGGCAATGCTGTGTATAACAGAAACGGCCTAACTGGCTTTATCCGTTCCTTGTTCACGGTCGAGTGGTTCGCGAGACGCTCTGTCTATTTTCTCACTCTCGCTCTTCCTAAATTGTATCTTTTCTCTCTAGCCGTAACGAATCTGTCACGAGTTCAATTTTACTCGACAACTTTCAACGCGCCTAAAGAAGTTTCACTTTAAAAACATTGTTTTGTTGATTGATTAATGTGTGGTAATTGGGTGAATGTGTTTTTGTCTCGCACCGTCAGTCGATTTCAAAAATTATAGAGAGAGAGAGACAAAATATAGTGCATCTATTCACACACTGTATCGTTAACAGGGTTAGTTTTTTTACTAATAAAAAAAATCTTGATTAGAAAGATAATTTTTGCAAATGATTGTTTAAACCTAGGCTCATTGTATTGATAGTTTAACTGTATTACTAATTAAGCAATGTATGTCTGGATTGAGCACTGAAAGCTTTTAAGCATCGTCTATTCGTGCTTAAAAGTGTCGAGCTCCGCTGTTGAGGGTCACCTCTACACAAATCAAAGCAAAGTTCAAGTCAATTTTAAACGATATTATGGAAACTTAATGTATGTGTGCGCGGCACAAGTGAAGCCCCTAAACGTGTTGCATCTCAGTCTTTCACAGGCTAAATCATATATTTGTCTCTATTCAATTTAATATATATGCTGTACGTATATGTAAATGTATTTATTTATTTAAATTTTTAGAAGTTCGTTATCGATACAAAAATCACATAGACGAGTTTGATGTTCCAACGAAAAAATCAAGATATGTTACATTATTAAGACGATGAAATGATTTATATGTAAAAACCTAAAAACTTGTACCATTGATCGCATCGCGTGACGTCATAAGTGTGGCGATTGCCGAAATCTACATGGAATGTGTTAGAATAATTTTATTATTAGGTATTTGCTTTTTTGAGAGAGAGAGGACGGTTAGCGCAGTACCGACATGTGATGTAATAGAGAGGAGATGCATGTGACTATGTATGGAAATAGTAGTACAAGGTAGAGGGGGAAGAGGTGGACCGAAGAATATATGGATGGAGTGTGTGAATGATGATATGAGAGAGAGACGAGTGAATGTTGAGATGACGGCTGATAGAAGAGAATGGAATAGAAAAATTCGCTCCAACAACACCTGGTGAGATAAGGACAAAGAAGAAGAGGTTGTTGCTTATTTTAACCTCAAATGACGTCACACGATAATGCATTCAGTCGAATCCTGTATACTTTGAACATATGAACTGTCAGACTCTGTATTACGGATGTGAAATATTCTGTTTTATATAGAAAAAAGTTTTCTTTTTTTTAGTTTATTTGTGACAACATCGACTATAAAAGCATAGTAAAAAGTATCGAATATTAATTCAATTTTCGTTTATAATTTCGTTTGAAACGTCACGAACTATCGAGTGTTCAAGTTTCACTAACGCTGTATTTGGTAAGGTGAAGGAATAAATTATAATAAAAATGCATATAGGTATAATTCTGTTATAGGAAAAATTTATATAAATATGAGTGTTTAGTGTGAAGAAGTAATTAATAAAGGATTGTTTTCAATTGAGCGATTTCTTGCGCGAAACAGCCGTGTAGTCTGATCAATACTGAACATACCAGTGTTTGGTCAAATTGACAGAATTCAAAGTTAAATTTACAAATTTCAACTTTACAACACCATTATCGAAAAAGATGGGGACAATTATACTTAAAATATGCATATAATATTTTATTTGCTCATTGTTTATAGTTATTTCTACTATTAACCAAAAAAATAATGTATAATCGTTTTCTGCATTGAATCGATAATTGGACAAAATCGATATTTCGGTTTTAATTATCGGTCAATTTGATCTAGCGCTGTAGGAACAGACACGCAAGTATTTTTGGTAGGTCGAGTCGAGTGATTCGCGTCTTAAGACGACAACGAATATATTAAATTTTTCATTTTGATTTGAAACATCCATATCTTTTTACTGGTGGTAGGGTCTCTTGTGAGTCCGCGCGGGTAGGTACCACCACCCTGCCTATTTCTGCCGTGAAGCAGTAATGCGTTTCGGTTTGAAGGGTGGGGCAGTCGTTGTAACTATACTAGAGACTTATATCTTGGAACTTATATCTCAAGGTGTAAGTCTCAAGTATAGGAGCTTATATACTACCTTGGAACTTATATCTCAAGGTGGGTAGCGCATTTACATTATAGACAACCACTTAACACCAGGAGGGCACAGGTGTAACACCATTGGAAGATCAAAAACAGTACAAATCTTATTGGATGTTCTCATACAAGATGCATTAAATTATTTATTACAAAATACTTGTGTTGTATTATTTATAGGGAACATAAAGGTTCGCACGCGAATCACTCTACAGTAGGCTAGCTCATTTAATAAGTTTGAAAAAGTGTCCTAAACGCTATTAATTGTTGAGCATAAATCAGATAGTTAATGGTATTTAAGTATAAATGAATGGAATAATAAAATTTATTATAAGCGTTCGTTCCAAAGTTCACGTGTTTGTGATGTCGAGACGTTGAGCTTTATATGTATATATAGTCCACTTAGTGCTTTCACTCGTCCCGCGGGTCGTTGGACTTTGTCTACTAAATTAGCTTAATCTCATCATCGCAAAACTGTTATTCGAATATCGTTAATTTTTTTTTTACGCTTTTATTAGCTTCAGACGTTTGTATGTTTGTAACGGAAACTTTGAACATGATTTTGACCCCCTTCCAAACGTCGGATTAAATCGAAATTTGATATATTTATTAAGTACCGATGACAATTCAATATTAAAAAATATATTGAAAAAATTGAAATTCAACTAAAAAATGAAAAATAAATAATAGTTTAAAAAAACTAACAAAATAAGCCTTTATAGAAAATCCAACTAAAAAATAGAAAGTTAATTTTAATAAATTTGTATTAAAAATAGTGTAAGAAAAAATGATTTTATTGTAAAAAAAGCGCGGGGTGCATGGTATCAGTAGTTATAAATATTTTATGAACAGATATGAGTAGAAGGGTTATGTTGATAATATCCTCAAAAAGCACACCACGCTTTTTTTTTACAATAAAATCATTTTTTCTTACACTATTTTTAATTCAAATTTATTAAAATTAACTTTCTATTTTTTAGTTGGATTTTCTATAAAAGTGTATTTTGATAGTTTTTTGAAACTATTTTTTATTTGGTTTTTGTTTTAATGAATTTTATCTATACCAAAACAGTCGGTGTGAACGAAAACTTAAAAAATATAGTTTTATTACTAATCACTCATCTCTCGACATGCAGTCATGTGCTACTGTTATTACATTTGTCTCGTGTGCGTTATATATAATATATTCTAGATAGTTCTAGTATATATATATGTATATGTATTTTAGATAGTTCTAATGTAGTTGGTCAAGTAGTTGATAATTATTGATATCTGGTTCGGAACGTCACAGAATGAAAAGAATAGAATCGAAGATATATATATTTTTAGTAGGTAAAACATCGAGGAGTGAAATGTGAGATTCCGCATAATAGGCAGCGGCTTGGCTCTGCCCCTGGCATTGCTGAAGTCCATGGGCGACGGTAATCACTCACCATCAGGTGGGCCGTATGCCCGTCTGACTACAAAGGCAATAAAAAAAAAAAAAAACTTTATAATTAAAGGTCCCTTTTATTTGTTAATACTATCAACAATTCGGTGTTTTTAATTGAGTTTACCCATTCAAATATCTGAAGAAGATGTTTTGTTATCATATTTTTTCAAATTTTAAACTTTAAATGGCGCTCTTGTAAAGTTGCATAAATGGCGCTTAAACGTAATAGCTTTTCATTCCTCAATATTAAAGCAACGGCTGGGGAGCACTCTAAGAGCCAGAGATTCATTAATCATTTGTTTGTTAAACTTATAGTTAAATGAAAAAATAATTTATCTAATACATTATAAGTCGCACTATAAAGTAAAATGTCTAGGTAGCGGGTAGGTACCACCGCCCCGCCTATTTCTGCCGTGAAGCAGTAATGCGTTTCGGTTTGAAGGGTGGGGCAATCGTTGTAACTATACTGAGACCCTTAGAACTTATATCTCAAGATGGGTGGCGCATTTACGTTGTAGATGACTATGGGCTCCAGTAACCACTTAACACCAGGTGGGCTGTGAGCTCGTCCACCCATCTAAGCAATAAAAAAATAAAAAGTCTGCTCCAAAGAAGCAGCAAAACCAATCCATTCTCAGCTGACTATTTTCAACATTCTGTGACGTTTCTTTATGTATTTAAAAAAATAAATATAATCTAGTTTAAATAGATCAATTAGACAATCCGTTGATTTAGATGTAGAGATGTTACCATTTATTTCCGTTAAATTGTTTAAGTTTTATTTTAATACTTAACTGGTGTGTGTGACGGTGTTCTGTTGCGGGAATATTTTGGGATTGTTTATTTTTTTGGTTGTATAAATTTATTGCACTTTGTGATCGGTCGAGATATCGATATGTGTACGATCGTGTACGAATGGCCCAAACACTAGTAAACGAATAGCAAATTATATTTTATATGTAATTAAAATATATATGTACAACAATTAATTATTCTATAATGCATTTATTTCAAATGACTTGTTGTTTTTTTTTTTCAATCTGTTTCATGTTCCATCATTTTCGATATAAATTATAATTACCTCGAAATACCTGTGCTCACTCTTGTTTGAGAATCGTGTACTGATTTTTTTTTTATTGTCCTTGTAGACAATAAAAAAAATCAGTACACGATTTACAGGTAATACAGGTGACTGGGAGAAGGGCAGGATAATGATGTAGACAGACGACGAGCATACGGCCCACCTGATGGTGAGTGGTTACCGTCGCCCCTGGACTTCAGCAATGTCAGGGGCAGAGCCAAGCCGCTGTCTACCGCTATCACTTTAACAATGTGTTGTTTCAGTAAACTGATTCACGAACGTGGTTTTTGATGTAATAAATAAATGTCCAGGATATGTGAGCTCTATCCCGGTTATTTTATTTTAGTGAACGGTTCCAGTGCGTTGTTATTTAGTAATTACTTTCGAATGACAGAATTCACCTCCAATACACATACAATCCATTTCGCCTATTTCTGCCGTGAAGCAGTAATGCGTTTCGGTTTGAAGGACCGGGCAGCCGTTGTAACTGTACTGAGGCCTTAGAACTTGTATCTCAAGGTGGGTGGCGGCATTTATGTTGTAGATGTCTATGGGCTCCAGTAACCTCTTAACACCAGGTGGACTGTGAGCTCGTCCACCCATCCAAGCAAAAAAAAAACAATCTCATATCATACTGTTTCTCATACTCAGTTCTCAATCTCTTCTGACGTTGCTGAAGTCTATGGGCGACGGTAATCACTGACCATCAGGTGGGCCGTATGCTCGGCGTCTTCAAGAGCAATAAAAAAAATACTTTATACTATAATAAAATTGCAATTGCGTCTAATTAAGCGTCTAATACTGTATAATCATTTTCTGTTGCCATTGTAGGCAGACGAGCATACTATCCACTTGATGGTAAGCAGTTACCGTGGCTCATGGACAACGGCAATAATGTAATGTATGTATTTAAATTAGTTTTTTTTGGCATATTAATATCGAGGCATTGCATAGAAAATTTTTGATGAAATATAAAATATTGGAGTGGCTAGCTAAGTCATTAAAAAGGCTATGTATTAACTATAATATTATATTTAAAGTAACTTCTGAAAATAAACTTTGTTATTTTCCACTGAGGAACATAGAATGGAATCCCATACAATCGTGCCGGGACTGAAGGCACACGACTATGCAAAATGTATTCGCTACGAACTGACGGGTTTGTTGTGTAATGTTTTTGTATAAATAAAGTTTAAGTGATGTAGATGTGTTGTTGTTATTGTATCTACGTCAGAGGTCGCCAAAATGTCGGACCGCTTACTCTTTTTGTGGGGACTGTGAGAACACAGCGACTTGCACTTTTTTTGTCCCTAGTGACCTCAAGGGGTCATACTAGATTCGCCGAGCGAGTAGATGAGCTCACGGGGCTCTAACCCGTGGATGTTACTTTTTTTTTGGGTGGACGTACTCACATCCCACCTGGAATTAAGTTGTTACTGGAGCCCATAGACATTTACGACGTAAATGTGCCACCCACCTTGAGATATAAGTTTTAAGGTCTTAAGTATAGTTACAACGGCTACCCCACCCTTCAAACCGAAACGCATTACTGCTTCACGGCAGAAAAAGACAGGATGGTGGTACTAACACTAGCCCTAGCAAGAGCAGTGCTTCGCAGGGGCGGACCTCAATTTTTCTCTTCCCCCGAGTCCGACAAAACCCGGTCTGTTACCCCCCCTCGACCGGATATCCATAAAAGGATTCCCCGTGCTTAAAAAAGAAAAGGGTTCCGTTTCACAGAAAAAAATGTATTTACGAAAATAACAAAGGTATATTTTTGTTTACGTGTCAATGAGAAAAATTACATTTGTCTTGCGGACTGTCTATTTGAAGTTTGGAGTAAAATTGGTACATTATCGACTGCGCGCTTCCCCATCGCGGTGATCAACGCTTTCGCAATCCGCGAACTCTTTCTCATTCGTCAACAAAGATGAAGATGTGACGGGGAATATTTTATTACTAAATTACGTGTTCTGTAGTGCAACTTGTCACCGTTCTCGACGAACCCGTCGCTTGCGACGAAGGGCTCTACGAGTAAATTAACTCTCAGACACAGCCCACTGAGTTTCTCGCCGGATCTTCTCAGTGGGTCGCGTTTCCGATCCGGTGGTAGATTCTGCGAAGCACTGCTCTTGCTAGGGTCAGTGTTAGCAACACTCCGGTTTGAGCCCCGTGAGCTCACCTACTAGCCACGGTTACGCTGAAACAGCCTCTCAAGGCTATCAGCATAGGTAGGAATAAAAAAAGAAAGTCACATGTGGTCGCGATCCTCAGCAGTGAAGGAACGATATAGAAGAAAAATAGAACCCAAAGAAAGATTAAGGACGAAGAGGAAATAACTATAGTGTGGACTATACCACAGCAGGTTTGTTACCGGGGGTGGCGGGGGGCGGGGCGGGACTAAATAAACAAAGTATTTTTTTTTTCAATAATTTTAATCTAAAAATATACTGAAAACGACCTGATACGTACATACACTACACGGCGCCGCGCTCACAACACTAACTTCACTAACAATTACGAGACCTCAAAATTGAATATTAGTTTGATATTGTTCTCATAGTTCTTGTTCTTGGGTTGGAAGGGCGTCCCGACGACGGGCGCGAGGCTGGGGTCCTTGGGCCGCAGCACAGCGTCGTTCCTGCAGAGCCTCCGCAGGTGGTGCCAGGCGGCGCCGTAGTCGTACTCTAGCACCGTCTCGTAGAACTTGACGGCCGCCGCCTGGAAACGGAAATTACATGAAATACTCATATTAATATAAAATGTTATGCTCAAAGGTCTAAACATATGAAAATTTCACCGAGCCGACAGAGACTTTTGCTTTATAAAGCACAAGTCCGGCCTCGCATGGAGTACTGCTCCCATCTCTGGGCCGGGGCTCCCAAATACCAGCTTCTGCTGATATGACTCCATACAAAAGAGGGCCGTTCGGATTGTCGATAATCCCATTCTCACGGATCGCTTGGAGCCTCTGGGTCTGCGGAGGGACTTCGGTTCCCTTTGTATTTTGTACCGTATGTTCCATGGGGAGAGCTCTGAGGAATTAGTTACATAGTAGCTATACTTGAGACCTTAGAACTTATATTTGAAGGTGGGTGGCGCATTAACGTTGTGGATGTCTATGGGCTCCAGTAACCACTTAACACCAGGTGGGTAGTGATTCCACCCAGCTAAGAAATAAAAAATAAAATCATCGCGACCATTCGGCATTGCTGAAGTCCATAGGCGATGGTAACCACTCACCATCAGGTGGGCCATATGCTCGTCTGCCTGCAAGGGCAATAAAACTATAAGGTATAATTTATTCGATATTTGATATGAACGAGTCTTGGCTGTGACCTGCAAGGGCTTGGGCTGTTTCTTGGAGAGGTAGGGGTCGACGCTGTGCATGGCGTCCTCCAGCGGCTCGCGGGCCAGCGCCAGGTCGGGCGCCAGCCGCGGCAGCGCGCGCAGCGAGCACAGCTGCAGCGCGAACGCAAGGCTCAGTCGGTACGAGGAGCCCGCGTCCTTCAGGTAACTGTCTCTCGAAGACTTCTTCAGAAACCGGTAAATGTGCGGCAGGACTTCCCTGTGAACACATAAAAATTTCAAACACTCGTTTAGTTTCCTTGGTTTTGGAACGAAATTCCTTATGGGACGATGCGGAGGTGTACCCTAACCGGGAAAAAACGTCCGTAACGTAAGATTTTTATTAGTAACGCACACAGTGTACGATTTAACTTTGTAATAAAGTACAAAAAATAATATCTTTTTTTATCATTCATTGACCACGATTTCAGAGCGTTCGTTTGCGCAATACACTAACTCTTATGTAAACAACCATGAATGAAGTGTACCACAATAAGTTCGCACGTTACTGAATGACCGTGGGTTATTGCGAAACTTCTAGTTCTATTTTCTTTATAGAACTTAAAATTAATATTTTTATAATAAGAAACTTCGTTCCTATCCGGTGTCCCACGACACCACACATCTTTTTTTTAATTTATTGCTTCAATGGGTGGACGAGATCATGGCCCACCTGGTGTTAAATGGTTATCGGAGCCCATAGACATCTACAATGTAAATGCCGCCACCTAACTTAAGATATGAGTTCTAATGTCTCAATTTTTACATTACAACGGCTGCCCCAGCCTTCGTAGCGAGGTATAAATATTAGCCTATCCATTAAGTACATGTATTTTCTACATGGATACCAGGTTTCAAGTCGATCGGATGTATGGTTCAGTAGTTATAACGGAACATCCGTAAAAACCACTATAGATTAGTATAGATATATCTGTTTTTTTTTTATAAAATTGTAATGACTTATAAATAGAGTATAATAATGTAAGCTCACTTGATAGCTCTGGCCCTGATGAAGTCCTTTGAGACGGAAGCCATCGTGACGAGCAACTCTATCGCCCACCGCATGATTATAGGATCGTCTTCTTCAAATCTGAAATTTAATTTACGTAAAATAATAATATATTCAAACCCCCCACGCCACCTCCCCCCCGCATGTAGGGAGCTTGTTGTAAGCAATCTAGAATGGTGCCTAGTGCCGCCATCTAGTATGGATGTATGTAAGTCTAGTATGGTAAGGAAAGTATGGGATTAAGAGATACCATAATGTAGCCGACACGCGCACCTAGAGCACCGAGAAGTGACAGATGTCAAGTCACGAGTGCCCTGTTATATTTTTTTAAGGGATTTTATGACCTGGTAACTAAGACCTTTAAGTCATGTCTTCTTATTTTAATATGTAGACTTAATTTTATGAAAATGATAATATGGAGTGAAATGAAATGAAATGAAGATGATTAATTTGAGAGACTAATCAACAGGGATGACATAGAAATGAAATAAGATGAGATGATATGGGAAGAAATATAATCTTAGTAAAATGGTGGTCATTTACTGAGATTTTTTCAGTGGACTTTTTGGAGGATCTCGAGAAGTTACGTTCAGCGGCTTTGTTTAATTTTTCCACATTTGTGCACTTTCACAAATACTAAACAGTTAATAAACCACCGTTATTACATTTAAACCTGAAGAAACACTAAATAGACAAAATAAAACTAATCACACAACTTCACTCCTCGCGTTCCCGCCAAAAAGTCTTGCCGCGGTAAAACCTTAAAATCCACAGATCGTCTTTTCGCATTAAAAGTGTACAATTTCCAAAAATGTTCGAAATTGAGTTAATATGCGGAATCATTTAGTATCACCAGTATTTTTCTCATGAATACTGTCAAAAGAGCGTAGTTTAGTTTTAGTTTTTTTTTTTTAGTTTACCTATCTATATTTTGACTACTATTAACAAAATTAATACACATGTTAAACCTTTAAAACACTCTCCTGTAAAATTTTGTAAGTTTTGAGATTATCTTTAAATTAATAAGTGAAGCAAAAATTTTGCACACCTTTTTACGAAAATTGCGCGGACGGAACAGTATGAAAAATGCTCATATTTTTTAAAATTATGCTTTAAAAATACAATAAATCCATGAAAAAACATTACACACACTTCCATGTATTAGTCACACACACGCAACCATATTGTTTGTATATTGTCAATCTTTTCTTATTTGTCTGTGGTCAAATTGAGAATAGATTAAATATTGTTTGTCTTCATTAATATTCGCCTAAAGTGTAGTCTTGGCGAAATCTGTGATTATATAATTTGACGATAGAACCATAATAATGTTAAAACTTGTAATTTCAATTAATTATATTGCATAACAAGTATTCTCTGGACGTTTTTGCTGGCACTGTTGACAGTTTTAGACGAGAAGTCTACAGCCTTGCTCAATGAGTTTTTTCAATTAAGTAATAGCGTATTTGGTAGTAATTGTGTAATAATGTAAGGTCTTCATATAATGTTATATATAGTTTTTTTTGTTTTTTTTTTTTATATAATGAACCGCTTTTTTTTCAATGCATGCAGTCGGTACTTGTAATTGTGTTAGCATTTAGTGTAAAATCAATATATATGATACCTGTAATGTTCTGTGCTGATGTATAACATGTTGGTACCCAATATATAAAATAAAATAAATAAATTATAGTCGAATTTCGAGTACCGCGGGACCACTAGTACAGTTTTAGTGCGAGAAGACGAGATTGGTTTCTCGCAGGTGTTGTTACCTGTGGACGAGCGGCGGCCAGGCGGCGTGCACGAGCGGCAGCAGCAGCGCCGAGCCCCGCAGCACGCGCAGCCCGCCCCCCGCCGCCCGCAGCGCCGCCGCCGCCCCGCGCGCGCCCGCCGCCCCGCGCACGCAGCGCCGCACTATGGCCGCGGTCACACTCAGGTGACGAGCTACCGGCGCCTCTTCCTCTGCAACGGTCACAGATATCTTTATAAAGCTCAACAATTTCCAACGATCCAACTCGATATCGATTGATAAGTTTTGTTGCTCAAAAACATGTGTCAACCGACAATACAAGCCTTCTCAAAGTAAAGATGGCGCCTCGACCACGCTCGAGACAAACGCTCTGCTCTGATAGGTCGCTAACGCCTACGTGAATTAACAGTTTTGGTACCTTTTATTACAATTTATTTTAATAAACGGTTTTAAAGCTATAGAAAAACGTAACAAACAAAATAAAATAAAATTAAGAACTAATTACAACGTAAAAATAACAATAATAAGCATTATGCATGTAAACAAGAATCAACTCGACTCATTGCTTCCTCTGACACGTATATATATTCTAACGCAATACTGACTCGTAACAGCATCGCCGTAATCTGCCGCGTCGTCTAGCTCGGCGGCCCGGTCCTCCCGGTACATCTCCTCCGCGCTCTGGCCGCCCCCCGGAGGCTCCCCCTCGTCCAGCAGCCTCTCCGCCTCCTGTTGATTCCTGCAGTACTCCCGGACGTCCTCCAGGAGGTCGAGGCCTCGCTCCGGCGGCTTCGAATCCGTGTTATCCTCATCCTTGAACCACTTTTGTAGGCATTCGATGAAAGTAATAAACACTTGCAGGTAAGATTCTAAATTCCTGTCGTAATACTTGTCGCAGCTCTGGACTAGGACCTGTTGGAGAAACGATTTGTTTAAAACGACATTCATTTTAAACACGTAACTGATAATGGCTATGTGGTATCCTTTGGTGGGATTAGCCCTTTGACTGCCGTGTGGGTCACCGGTGCCCTACGCGGCGCATTGAAGTAGCTATGTCGATTTCTGTTACCAAGGCGCCTGGATTGCCTAGCTTTGCCTTCTTTTGTTTGTTAATGTGTATGCTTTAGTCTTGTAGGTCTCTTGGGAATAGATTCATTCTCAGTGTCTTCGAATTCGTCTTTCCCAGAGTCTACTAGATATTCTGGTGCCTAAGTTTTTTATTTATTTTTTATTTGTTAGATGGGTGGACGAGCTCACAGCCCACCTGGTGTTAAGTGGTTACTGGAGCCCATAGACATCTACAACGTAAATGCGCCACCCACCTTGAGATATAAGTTCTAAGATCTCAGTATAGTTACAACAGCTACCCCACCTTCAAACCGAAACGGATTACTGTTTCATGGCAGAAGTAGGCAGGGTGGTGGTACCTAACCACGTGGACTCACAAGAGGTTCTACCGCCAGTAAAAAAATTCAACTTCAAGTCTAGTGGCGGCATTCCCTTGACGATGTCTACGGGCCGCGGTGACCATTTAGCACCAGACGTTCTTCAAGATCTCCCACCTACCGCATAATATATCCGCTGTTTAAAAAGCTGGCAACATATGCGCATATACCTGAAAAGTGACTTTTTGGCGGGAACGCGAGGAGTGAAGTTGTGTGATTTGTTTTATTTTGTCTATTTAGTGTTTCTTCAGGTTTAAATGTGTAATAACGGTGGTTTATTAACTGTTTAATATCTGTGAAAGTGCACAAATGTGGGAAAATGAAACAAAGCTGCTGGACGTAACTTCTCGGGTTCCTCCAAAAAGTCCACTGAAAAAATCTCAGTAAATGACCACCATTTTACTGCGATTATATTTCATCCCATATCATCTCATTTCATTAAATTTCATCCCAGTTGATTAATGTCTCAAATTAATCATCTTCATTTCATTTCACTCCATATTATCATTTTTCATAAAATTAAGAATATAAAGTAAAATAAGACATGACTTAAAGGTCTTAGTTACCAGGTCATAAAATCTCTTAAAAAATTTATTGGTGAGACTTTTTGGCGGGAACGCGAGGAGTGAAGTTGTGTGATTTGTTTTATTTTGTCTATTTAGTGTTTCTTCAGGTTTAAATGTGTAATAACGGTGGTTTATTAACTGTTTAATATCTGTGAAAGTGCACAAATGTGGGAAAATGAAACAAAGCTGCTGGACGTAACTTCTCGGGTTCCTCCAAAAAGTCCACTGAAAAAATCTCAGTAAATGACCACCATTTTACTGCGATTATATTTCATCCCATATCATTTCATTTCATTTCATTAAATTTCATCCCAGTTGATTAATGTTTCAAATTAATCATCTTCATTTCATTTCACTCCATATTATCATTTTTCATAAAATTAAGAATATAAAGTAAAATAAGACATGACTTAAAGGTCTCAGTTACCAGGCCATAAAATCTCTTAAAAAAAAAAAAATACCTGAAAAGTCTAGAAAGAAAGCTCTCAAACAGACACTTTTTATAATGTGCATTCTATATACATTCTTGAGTTTTAATTGCACAATTACACTATTATCAGAAGTACACTCACGTCTTCAACTATTCCGTACATGTAATCCAGCATAGTGACGTCACTATACTCCATGACCACAGATAATATCTGCAGCGCCGACTCGCAGTCCCATGCCTGCCGACAAACAAACATGCTGTTTTTATTCGATTATAATTAGGGTCAAACAAATGTATCGTTGGAAAGTTTAATAGGTATTTAATATTTATATTAAGTCTATGGGCTCCAGTAACCACTTAACGCCAGGTGGGCTGTGAGCTCGTCCACTCATCTAAGCAATAAAAAAAAAGAAAGTACACAAATTATATAATTATTTAAAAATTTCAAACTATTAGCAAAATTAAACCCATCAAAAATACTGCTACTACAAGTCTGACCTAAATCGATAAAAATATATCTTAAATTATACATATATCGAATTGCCTCGTGTAATTTCTACCTATGCATTTTTTTACACATTACAATATATCAGCTATTTATTACGATTGATTAAGGACAATTAATTGAAAAATTAAAAAAAATGTAAAATTGACAAATAAATTTAAAAAATCTAATTAGTATATATAATAATTGTATTTATGAAATGTTTATATGAATTATTTATAATTTTTTATATGTGTAATAATATAAGCAATATTATCATTATATTGTTTATTTGTATATTTATAAAAATATATTTTTTCAATCGCTTATACAGTGCTGTTAATTTCTTTCCTGAAATCATCTTTGTCCACATGACGGTTGTCTGGAAGAGAACATTCTTAGCGATAAGCTCGCCCATTGTGCATTTTGTATTTAATGTTTTGCATTTGTGTTTATTTTGGTGTACAATAAAGCACACTCTAATCTTCTCTACTCAACTCTACTTATGGGAGCGTCAAATGTCTTAAGTAAATCCCTAGAAGATATTCAGTGTAGTGATCTTCGCTACAAACGAACCAAATCTGTGTGACCCGGTGCCGTTAGGTGAGCTGTACCTTCTTGAGTCTCCTGGTGATCTGGTTGGTGAGGTAGTCGGCGTTGCAGCGGATGAGGTCGGCCGGGCCGGCGTGCCCCGCGGCCGCCGTGATGCTGCCCACCGCCTTCAGCCCCGCCTGGTGGAGCAGCTCGTACGGGCTGCCTGCAACCGGGACGCAACCTCAGCCACCGCACGAGACGGAGACAGCGTGCTTTTTTTGTTAAGCTGATGGTTAGGTTAGCACTAGTCCTAGCAAGAGCAGTGCTTCGCAGAATCTACCACCGGATCGGAAACGCGACCCACTGAGAAGGTTCGCGGTAGGCAGCGGCTTGGCTCTGCCTCTGGCATTGCTGAAGTCCACGGGCGACGGTAACCACTCACCATCACGTAGGCCGTATGCTCGCCTGCCTACAAGGGCAATAAAAAAAGGTGCTTCCATCCTCCATCATACCCCATAGCTTCGTGGATGAGGTGCTGACCTGATTGGACAGGTCCAGATTGACCAAAATGTCAAGTGAAATAACTGACTCACTGATCCTCTCCAGCACCAGGCACAGCACCTTCATGAGGTAGGGCTGGTAGTGCTCGTTGAGGGTGAGCGCGAACATGCCCACGCCCTCGGTGAGGAGGCAGGAGACCAGCATGTTCCGCTGCGCCTCCCGCAGCGTGGTGCGCGGGGGCGGCGCGGCGCGCGGCGTCCTGTAGCTGATGTCCGTGTAGCGGGTCTCCGTGGCGCCCTCGTACAGCCCTACCACACACGGACGGTTTTCAATCAAACGCCCGTAAGAGTACCGCCATCTATCGCCGAATAGCCAAACGAATATCGAAGGATCTATTAACATCTAGAACGCTCGAGGAGCACAACGCCATCTATTGAAACACACATCGAAGGTACTCGACTTGGGAGGAATGTTCTCGACGATTCTAGCGATGTCGTATGGACTATAAAAGCGTTGCAGAGATGGCACGTAGTCAGTCAGTAATCGGAACTACTCCAGGGCGCTGAAACTGCGATACTATAAGACAAATATTTTTTTGTATGGAAACTATCGACATCTTGTAACAGGGGGGCATCCCTAAGCTTATATGTAAACTCGTACGTAAACTTATATATTACTAGTAGGTGAGCTCACGGGGCTCAAACCTGACGACGTTGCTAACACGAACCCTAGCAAGAGCCGTGCTTCGCAGAATCTACCACCGGATCGGAAACACGACCCACTGAGAAGATCCGGTAAGAAACTCAGTGGGCTGTGTCTATGGGTTAATTCGCTCGTCGAGTCCTTCATCGCAAGCGACGGGTTCGACTAGAACGATGACCGGTGCTTGTGGTACCTAAAAGCACCGTTAATGGATCGGGAGGATCCGAAATGACGTGTTTTGGGCGACGCTGTCCGCAGTATCGGGGATGTAGTTACCGGCGGCCACGATGAGAGGGTTCTCGTGTCGAGCCGCTTTATCGAAGTGGAACTACAGCACCACCGAATCAATCGCCCAGAATTGTCAAGTGGAGATGTTCGCGAATACGAGGAAGGCGCCGGGCGAGTTGATTCTCCTCCGTGATCATTCTACAGTAGGCTTGGAGCACTCACCGGGCACGCTGTCCCGGTGCCAGGCCCTGGGGTCGTACACGGAGACGTCGAGCGTGTCGGCGCTGGTGAGGGGCGCCTCGCCTCCGCCCACCTCCAGCGGGAGGTACCACATGTCCTCTTGTATGTACAGGTTCAGTATTCGTTCTATTAGAGATGTCGGCGCTTTTGGTTCTGGAAGCATAACCGTGGACATGAGCTCCTCTTACGTAAGAGTCATCATCATCATCATCACAGTCGATTAATCTTGGTAGAGCAATGGTAGTCATGTGAAATCCGTGTTGATTATACGTAAGAGTTTACTGGTAGTCTAGTGAGTCCGCACGGGTAGATACCACAACGCTGCCTATTTCTGGCGTGAACTAGTAATGCGTTTCGGTTTGAAGGGTGGGGCAGCCGTTATACTGTAAAAACTGAGCTCTTAGAACTTACGTCTCGAGGTGGGTGGCGGCATTTACGTCGTAGGTGTCTACAGGCTCCGGTAACCACTTAACACCAGGTGGGCCGTGAGATCGACCAAACCACCTAAGCAATAAAAAAAAGTATCCGTTCTTCATATATCAAATTACATTAATTTTTAAAGACTGAATTTCAGAAAAAAATCAGCTTAAAGTGAATTCGTCGTGAAATGATAAACGCCGTAAAACAATCCGGCAAACGATCCAATCAATTGAGATCCGGCAATTTAATTTAAGTTGTTTCAATAACATTTTTTAACATTTTATTAAAGTGAATTATAATAGTTAAAGTTCCTCATGTTTCTTATTTGCATCGGGATTACAATTGATGTATTCAATTAGATTGATATCTTTACAAAGATTTTTATTATATAGCTCACCCGATCCGATCCAATTGAGGAGTAGGAAGGCGTCAGGCAGTTTGTGCTGCAGCGCAACCTGCATGAGGCGGTCGGCGAGCAAGTCTGCAGCGCGGGTCGCAGCCAGACCCCGCACGCACGCCGCCACCCGCCGCAGTCCCCCCGCCGGCACGCACCGCGGCCGCACCCACGGAGAGTCGGTCACCGCACCCGCCAGCACGTCTGCACATACACGCACGCCCTCACAGTACACCCCGCAGGGAGCCGGCCCGCCCCCGCCCCCCGCCGGCACGCACCGCGGCCGCACCCACGGAGAGTCGGTCACCGCACCCGCCAGCACGTCTGCACATACACGCACGCCCTCACAGTACACCCCGCAGGGAGCCGGCCCGCCCCCGCCCCCCGCCGGCACGCACCGCGGCCGCACCCACGGAGAGTCGGTCACCGCACCCGCCAGCACGTCTGCACATACACGCACGCCCTCACAGTACACCCCGCAGGGAGCCGGCCCGCCCCCGCCCCCCGCCGGCACGCACCGCGGCCGCACCCACGGAGAGTCGGTCACCGCACCCGCCAGCACGTCTGCACATACACGCACGCCCTCACAGTACACCCCGCAGGGAGCCGGCCCGCCCCCGCCCCCCGCCGGCACGCACCGCGGCCGCACCCACGGAGAGTCGGTCACCGCACCCGCCAGCACGTCTGCACATACACGCACGCCCTCACAGTACACCCCGCAGGGAGCCGGCCCGCCCCCGCCCCCCGCCGGCACGCACCGCGGCCGCACCCACGGAGAGTCGGTCACCGCACCCGCCAGCACGTCTGCACATACACGCACGCCCTCACAGTACACCCCGCAGGGAGCCGGCCCGCCCCCGCCCCCCGCCGGCACGCACCGCGGCCGCACCCACGGAGAGTCGGTCACCGCACCCGCCAGCACGTCTGCACATACACGCACGCCCTCACAGTACACCCCGCAGGGAGCCGGCCCGCCCCCGCCCCCCGCCGGCACGCACCGCGGCCGCACCCACGGAGAGTCGGTCACCGCACCCGCCAGCACGTCTGCACATACACGCACGCCCTCACAGTACACCCCGCAGGGAGCCGGCCCGCCCCCGCCCCCCGCCGGCACGCACCGCGGCCGCACCCACGGAGAGTCGGTCACCGCACCCGCCAGCACGTCTGCACATACACGCACGCCCTCACAGTACACCCCGCAGGGAGCCGGCCCGCCCCCGCCCCCCGCCGGCACGCACCGCGGCCGCACCCACGGAGAGTCGGTCACCGCACCCGCCAGCACGTCTGCACATACACGCACGCCCTCACAGTACACCCCGCAGGGAGCCGGCCCGCCCCCGCCCCCCGCCGGCACGCACCGCGGCCGCACCCACGGAGAGTCGGTCACCGCACCCGCCAGCACGTCTGCACATACACGCACGCCCTCACAGTACACCCCGCAGGGAGCCGGCCCGCCCCCGCCCCCCGCCGGCACGCACCGCACCCGCCAGCACGTCTGCACATACACGCACGCCCTCACAGTACACCCCGCAGGGAGCCGGCCCGCCCCCCGCCGGCACGTAATGCTACTACTATCTGATAGATCTGGCGACTGACCTCTGGTGGCGACGGTGCTGAGCAGCGTGAGGTCGGCGTCGAGGGCGGCGGCCTCGAGCAGCGCGTTGCACAGACACTGCATGTTGGTGTGCACGCTGAGCGCCGACACCACGCGCTGGGGGGGCGGCTCTGAACCCAGCACCTGGATGTAGCCGTGCAGCAGGTTTAGGGTCGACAGTTTGCGAGCTGAATCTGGAGACAACAATAATTATTGATTATAATTGATAAACCTTCCGCTAACGGCACATCCAGCAAGCCATCATCAGCAGCCAGCCATTAGAGAGTCTTTAGCCAAAGGACGGTGACATGACCTAGAGAAATTGATGTTCTCAACAGAAGAAAAAAATCTAAAAGTTATTTGTTGTCCGTTGTGCTTTATCATTCTGTCCCGAGGTATTGATTGATGTATCTAATTCAAAAATTATACACATAGCTATTCTCGCAATATCAAAACTACCAGTCCCCATATAACACAGAAAAGATAATATGATGCAAGAATAAATATATTTTTTAGACTCACCTACGTTATTTAAGACTCTCGGCAGACATGTGAGGGTAGTAAAGAAATTCTCGCACAAGCTGTCCATGGTCTTGTTCTTGGCGTCCTTGGCAGCCGTCGAGAAGTACGTGGACACTGCCGTCGCGCAGTAGTCCGACACTTGACTGTATTCATCTTTAGACAGAGCTATGAGGACGTCCAGGGCGAGTGGTATCGAAGGCTGCATTGTTCTGTCGATTGATAATTTTTGTTCTTTATGGTTTATTGGGCGAACACTGTTATTGGGTTTCTCCATACACCATTTTATTTTAACTTTGACCGACACTGAATTAGGGAAAGTATGTCATTTTCAATTAATTCCAATTAATTCCTACTAGTGGTAGGACCTCTTGTGAGTCCGCGCGGGTAGGTACCACCACCCTGCCTATTTCTGCCGTACAGCAGCCGTTGTAACTATACTTGAGACCTTAGAGCTTATATCTCAAGGTGGGTGGCGCATTTGCGTTGTAGATGTCTATGGGCTTCAGTAACCACTTATCACCAAGTGGGCTGTGAGCTCGTCCAAACATTTAAGCAATAAAAAAAAATACATATAAAAATACACACATATAATTATATGACCACGACCCTCAGTAATGAGGAATCCGACGCAAGGAGGAGGATAAGTATATATAAATACATTGGCCAGTAAAATACTAAATAACGACTTACGTATTACATTCGGTCAGCAACCTCGAACAGAAGACGGACAGCTCCTTCCTGACCTTGTGGTGCTCGTGGGTCCTCAGCGCTATCAGGCTCTTCGTGACCAGCATTAGCTTGTCGCCGGCCATCGTGTACCATTCCGGGCTCCTTTTCGTTATCTCCTTCGGCTTCTTACCTAAAACAAATTTCAGATTAAAATCAAGGATGTCACTGTAAGAAGAAATTAATACTTTGATTTATATATATTTTTTAATTCTCTTGTACGGTACTTTTGTAATTATCCACATACATCCGTCTTTCTATGACATTAGGTTTGAATTTATTCGTAATTGATTCACAATGTTGTCGTCTCTCTCATTCAATTATTCTTCATTCATCTTGTGCTGTGTGATTATCTATGTATAAATAAAATATTCATAAATTGTTTAGAAGAAATGTAATACGCATACCCACGCAGATTGTTAGTAACGTTTGAAAACAACGCAATGGATGCTATCCATCGCGTTCTGCGCTGTGACATTCCAATTAAAAAATTATTTCCATTTAAAATACACCAAAATTACCGAAGGGAATTTTTTTTAAATATCACACGTTCATTCGCTGCCTGAACAACGTTCAAAAGCACTTATATATTAAAATACATAATTATATTATAGCCAAGTTAATATATACCTAGTCAGGTCATAAATTCTGTCACATGTTTAATGTAAAATAATTGAAACAAGTTTATTCATTATGTAACCATTCATATACCAAAATGAACTTAATAAAACATAGATTCTTATGACACTAAAGTTTATTCAAAATGACCTCCGTGATTTTGAATACAGGCCTTCAATCTGCGCGGCCAGTCGTCTATCGCAGCACGAACGAGGTCCATGTCAATATCGGCGGCTGCCTTAATCAAGGATGTCTTGAGTGACTCCAAATTGGGATGAGGCTTTGAGCACGCCTTTTCCTCCAAGTGTTGCCATATCTTGTAATCTAACGGATTCAAATCTGGACTGGAGGAGGGCCAGTCTTCGTGCCGGATGAAGTCGATTTCACGCGCCGCCAGCCAGTCTTGTGTGCTCTTCGCTCTATGAGCTGGCGCCGAATCTTGTTGGAATACCCAGTGCCTGTTATTGAACATGGTATGAGAAACAGGTTCCACAAGGTTCGTCAGGACTGTATTTTGATACACAACTGCATTCGTTTTTACACCTTTCTCACAAAAATGTACCTCTGTTAAGCCCCAATAAGAAACTCCCAACCATACCATGAGCGAGGATGGAAAATGACCTCGTTGGACACGCGGAATACGGTTGCTCGCTTCTTCACTACTGTGTGCGTACACCTTATCATTTTGTTTGTTGTAGCTCTCTTCTACGGTAAAAATTTTTTCATCCGAAAAAAGAATTTCCCGATATTTTTTTCCCGCGTACCGCTTCAACAAAGCGCGGCATCTCTTCAGTCTCAGGTCCATTAGACGAGCATTCAAACGATGTCCTGTTTTTCTTCGATATGCCCGAAGCCCTAAGTCTTCATTTAACACCCTTTTCACCGTGGTTCTGCTTAACCCCATCTGAAGGGCCAACAGTTTCTGCTTACGTTTGGGATTTCTTTGAATTCGCGCCTTCACAGCTTTTATCACTGCTGGGGTCCTAACAGACCGAGGGCGACCACTTCTTGACCTGTCATCTACACTAGAGTCTTCATTGTATCGTTTGATGATACGATAAACGAATTTTTTGGTTATATTCAAAATTTTCAGTATGTTGAAAATTTGAATTGGCGCGTAACCGCAACGATGCAACGCAATAACTGCAACACGGTCTTCTTTAAGCGTCCACTCCATATTTAAAAATGAGTAAAATTCTAAAAGTATACATTTTTATTTTCATGAACAATTCGAAATTCGAATTCAATAAACTTTTTTGTGGCCAGCATTCTAAAATAAAAGTTTTTACTGTGTGACAATACTTATGACCTGACTAATTATATATGTTAGGAGACCGCTTCCGAAAACGAAGACAGACGTTAGTACTAATGACACCTTTGATGATGGAGTTATTTAGACAAATGTTGTAAAAAAGTATTTGGTCGTTGATCCTAGACATCAGCTGTTTTTTATTTTGTTTTTCATTGCTGTTTTTTTTTTAAAGTAAAGTAATGTATTTTTTTTATGAAACTATAGTTTCATTTAGCTGTACTAACATTATAAAGCGTAAATAATGCTAATAAAACATTTTTAAAATATGATTTTTTTTAGGATCAGGATCGATTTATTTTCCGTCCCATCATCAACGGTGTCATTAGTGCTATCGTCTGACTTCGTTTTCGCTAGCGCTCTCCTACCACCCTGTATATATATATATTATGTAAATGTATGTATAAGCGTTCGTAATCGAATACGCGTACTAAACTGAAAAGACCCTTACTGCTTACTTCTGTGTCAACCTTGTCTTTAGTCTTTTCGAGGTACATCTTTGCGAAATCATCGGCCGTGTACTCGGATTTCTTGTAAAGAAACTTATCGTGCATCGTGATGCAAAGTATCCTGTGGATCGCGTCTATAGCGGCCTGAAAATATACAACGTTACAAACGATGCGAGACAACAACAATTTAATGGTGGTAGGACCACTTGTGAGTCCGCGCGGGTAGGTACCACCACCTTGCCTGTTACTGCCGTGAAGCAGTAATGCGTTTCGGTTTGAAGGGTGGGGCAGCCGTTGTAACTATACTGAGACCTTAGAACTTGTATCTCAAGATAGGTGGCGCATTCACGTTGTAGATGTCTATGGGCTCCAGTAGCCACTTAACATCAGGTGGGCTGTGAGCTCGTCCACCCATCTAAGCAATAAAAAAAAACACTTAACACCAGGTGAGGAGTGAATTCTCCCACCATACCTTTTTCATTGAATGGTAATGTAAATGAATGAAAGACTAAACTATACTTACCACAATAACACCGTGTCCTGGATTATCAGCACAAGTGGCTACGTCTTGCAGCCCAGCTAGCACCCCTGGCAATATGCTGGACAGCATATCAACCACGGCTTTCTCTATGACCGGATCCTTGATGCTGTAATCATCAGTTTGACTGGCGTGTGTTCCGGTGTGCGCAGTCACGCAGTGGATAGCTGCCAATCTGTTAAAATAATAATATATTATTTTACAGCAATTTGGTTAGCTTGTCCTGGATATTCTTTTCTTGTTTGGAGAGTTTTGATTAATTTTGGAATTAACTGACTACAAATCCTTAATAACTTCATCGATGAATATTAAAAATCGTAAGTTAACATTTTATTGTTTAAATTCATTTAACATTTTAATAGTATGTGTAGCCTATTCTTACCACTAAGCAACTGTGTATGTCAATCCTGTTTGTAGGACGGAATGATTGTTGAAATTGAAATTCTATTGGAATTGTAGTTGAGCAATGACAGTTATATTTTGGTATTTGCGTAGTCGAGATAAGAATAAAATTAGCATGACACATATTAGGCGTGAGCGCATTGACGCCAGTGACTGGCTTGCACCAGTGTGTGTTTTCTGCCTGACGTCTATTAAAAACAGGTCAGTCATAGTACATTGTGCACCAAGGGAGAAAAGTTGGATATTTCCTCCCGCGTGTAAAATTTCGGGATAAGATGTCCTACTTTTTTCCCGCGGTGCACATACTATTTTTTCTCCGACCAGGCCGAAAGTTCGACATTGTAAAAAACTTAGCACCCGTGGAGTACCGAGCCGGGGTAAAGGGGTGAAGCCCTGGTGGGGTCTAGGGGTGAAGCCCTGGCCGGGGTTAGGGGGGGGCGGAGCATAGAAAAAAGCAATTTAACTGTTTTTGAATTTTCAAATAAACTACTACTAATTGAATAAGAACTGTCTGATGAACTCATCTTTGTTTAATACTTCACTATTAAATTTTATTGCCTTTTGTTTATTTCACTTTTACACTAAACACAATATTGCAAATTACCCGAGCACAACAATGGCGGAGAATTTTGTGTGCGTGAGAGCAGACGTAGACACTAACGCGCATGCGCACTTGTCAGTACCCCGGGAGGAAAAGTTAAGACTTTCTTCCCTGTACAGCGGGAGGAAAACCGAACTTTCGGCGTAGGTAGAAGAAAAAAACATTTTCTTCTTTGTTGGTCAATCGATTTTCTTTTTATTTGCTCAGTAGCTATTGAAATAAATTTTGGTACAGTTAAGATTTTTACATTAAAACAAAGTGTCAATCACCAAATAAAAGAGAAATCATAGATGAATATAAACCTTGAGGTATCAGTGATTAAGACTGAATTTGCACTGACCACTCAACGAACGCCAGTAAAATTAAAAAGCTGCCATTATTCCATACATGTTTTAATCTATTTTTATGACACAATATAATCACGTACTTGTTAAACTTGCGTTTTAGTTTATTAGAAAAATATATATATACAGGATGTTTATTGAAATCTATATATAGCAATAAAGTAAATATAAGAGATTGCTGTACATGCCTGTAACTGGCTTACATACCAGTACTTAATTTTATACATGTTAATTTTAAGCTTGAATGTTTTGTGTGTATTGCTGTTGGTGTGTCTAAAAAAAATAAATAAAAAAAATAAAAAAATAAAGTATTTTGTATGACCCATCACAATGCTTCAGTTAGGCTCCTAAGATTTTAAAGGGTAGTAAAGCGTACTGTAAGCCCATAAGGAAAAGTGCCACAATTTTACCTGTTTCTGCTGTCAGACAGTAATGTGTTCCGGTTTGATTCATAGGATATCGCTTTCAGAATACAAGAGATCACAACCTAATGTTACAAAGTGGGTGCCATTGCCCAAACTTTGAGCTTCGGGTAACAACTGAACAGGTTTTGATATGAGATTATTCACCCATCAAAACAACACAAAAATGTAGTATTTTAATTTGAAAATCGATATTTGTTATTTTCAATTCACATTGTGCTCAATATACTTAACTCTCAACATTACTTCTACAAACAAGAATATTAATTTCGTAGTTTAAGATTAACATACTAATAAAGCAATTGCATATTAACGATATAAGTTGCCCTCAATTAATCAGTGTTTGTTTGCAGATTGCAGCGACTTATCTGAACAGAAGGTCAAATGTTAACTTGAATATCAGCGTGCACCAATAATTAATGCACCTTATTAATGCAATTTAATATTTTGCTATACGTCGTTGCGATTGAGAAATGCAATAAAATATTATTAGTTAAACTACAACTACCTTCACTTTGAAAATTGAAATCATTCTTAAAAATAGTCTAATGGGTTTTAACAAGTTAAACGTTACATGAAAAATGGAGTATTTTCATTCAGGCCACGGTGCTCACCGGTGAGCCTTTTCTTATTGAACCGTTCGAGCGATGAGGGTCAGCCGTGAGCCGCATGAGGGTTCCAAGGTAAACGCTTCCTACAAGCCACAGATTGCAGCTAAAAACGCGTATGGAAGTGAACCGCGCGGCCCGTTAGCAGAACCGAACGCCTTGGTTTTCAAATTCAATAGAAAGTTGTAGTTTTTATTAATATTATAACCGTTTAAAAAGTTTTAAAAACTTGACAGTAAAGTCATTAAATTTTATCTACTGAGCAAATTATCCCATTTTATAAATTTTAGAATGAAAATCTCATATTGATAAGAGTTACTGATTTTCTGTTTTTGGCTTGACCCGCATGATGTTCAATGTGTTAAGAATATTTCACAAACGTACCTCATATCTCAAAAGACCCAACAACCATGATTTTGTAAAACCAGTTTCAGTTCTAAAAAATCACCAAATAAAATACAACATAATTGCTAAGTACACGTAAATAGCTCACTCAATACCTTAGAGCCCTAAGCCGGTCGAGTTTGGCAATGTGGACAGCAACAAAGACAGCTTGTGCCAGTAGTGGAACCTGGGTCTTCATCAGTTTCTCCCTGAATTTCTTGTCCATATTGAGCATCAGTACTGTGAGGCTCAACATAACACTGAGTTTCAACTCCTCTGGGATTTCTGCAACTGATTTAAAAAAAATGATTAGCTCCTAGTTGACTCGTGGAGGGCCTTCTCAATATTGAATTGCTAGTATTGTGCTAAGTGCTGTAGTACTAAGCTTGCTAGTAATATTTTACTGTATTGATATTTTTATTTTCTTTGAAGGTTTACATCCTATTTGATGATGAGCAGTAGTCTTTATTCATGGGAATAAGTGACATCAGCACTACCCATCGCTGAACTCTGTTTAAATTGATTTAAAAAAACATGTGCTTTGACTATATTAAAACTCTGTAGAGAGGAATTTATCAGTGTTCAGTGGAACAAGTGAAAGTGTTCAGTAAAAAAGAGAAAGACAAGATTGTTTGGGACAATCACTATGCAAACATATGCACTATTCACGAGTAACAATACAATAGCAATAATCAAAGCCTCTAAATAGACCTAGAGGTTCCTCACAAACTGTGTGATCAGAATTATTTATAATTCTAATGCTCCTTTTCTGTGAGGAGTTAAATATTTAGTATTTGGGAGCCCGATCGCAATTGGAATAGTGGTCTACAAGAAGCCTTTATTTACTTTCTAAAGTACACAAATTTATGCAGGCTTCTAAAGTTTCAAAAACTTTGTCAGCGGTGGCAGGGTCTATTCTGAGTCTTTACTGGTGGATGCTACTGATGCGAAATAATCAAGTGGTCCAGTTTAACCATTACATTTCTTGGTAGATATGAGTGAAAATCAATGGCACTTTTTTTTTTTTTTTTTCCGGGCCGAGGGCCGAACCTCCTACGAGGTCCCCGCGCCTAGGGGGCGCATCGCAGTCCGCAGCCGCCGACGCGTCGTCCCGTCCTCCTGGTGCCAGCGCGCTAGAGTGACGGTAGCGTGCGGCGCAGTCTCAGCCCCTTTAGGTCGCCCCGTGACCATCACCGGGAGGAGACTGCCTCCTCATAGGGGCCGGAGCTGGACAAACGCCCTCCTCCGACCCCCGGCTCGACGGCGGCGGCACGGCGCCGAGAGGGAGGAAGAGTTCTCCCTCTCCCGTTCCGCCTCCTTCTGCGAGATGGTGGACTCGCAGAAGTCGAGCATCGCCTGCCAGGACTCATCGCTGCCGAGCATCGCAGCCACGACGGTCGGAAGCGACAAGTCCGGTCCAATTTTTGCAACGAGGACGCGGCGCTGCTCCGCGAAAGCGGGGCAGCACGCGAGCGTGTGCTCCGCCGTGTCCTCGTTGCAGCCACTGCAATGGTGGCACTTTGGCGTCGGCTCCCTCCGGGCGACGAGGTGCAGGTAGCGACCGAAACAGCCGTGTCCCGTGAGCACCTGCGTCGCTCGGAAGGTGAGACGTCCTCGGTCGCGATTCACCCAGTCCGAGAGGACCGGGCGGATCGCCTCGACGGTCCGTCGCCCGTAGGCGGGGTCCGCCAGGCGGCGAGACCACGCCTCGAGCACGGCACGCCGAGATTGAAGCTTCCGCGCTCGAACTTCCGCCGCGCCGGGACGCGGCTCCCCCCTGGAGCGGAGATCACATCGCCACGCGTAATCCGCAGCAAGCGCCTCCGCTTCCAGGTCCCAGGGAGGCGTCCCGGCGAGCACGCACGCCGCCTCGAACGAGACGGTGCGGTACCCACGAAAAAATCAATGGCACTAAAACAACTAAGAATAGGATAACTGTTGGGCAGTAAAATGGCAACTTTTGGTAGGCAGCGGCTTGGCTCTGCTCCTGGCATTGCTAAAGTCCATGGGCGACGGTAACCACTTACCATCAGGTGGGCCGTATGCCTACAAAGGCAATAAAAAAAACTTTAACCCTATTTCTCAAGGTGGGGTCATATAACAACACAATACTAAGCGGGATCTAAACTTTTTATTCATAAACAAACAGAAAACTTTGCTTGTTAGTAACTATTAGGCTGGACACCACTTCAAATAATGACTTCAGTTATCAGTGGATTTGAAAGTTTTGGTATATAAATTTAAGAAAAATGTTCCGGAATGCATGAACTCATGGTTCGCTCAATAATAATAATTGTTATCATAGCCTATTGACATTAAAAAGTTAATACCATTAAATGCCATCCGCCACATTAAGCCTGTCATGTAATTCAAATGTTCTGCCAAATGCCTAAAATTTAATTGTTTTAAAATGTTTTTTATAACTACCTTCAAATAAACTACTTACTCATCCCTGGCCTGTCTTTATCAAAGACCAGTTGCAGTAAGCCGATTTCAATTTTCATGCACATCTCAAAACTGTTCACTGTGACTCTTTCCAATACTGCCCTCATGCCATCTACAAGTTTTCTTTGCAGTCCATATTTTGTTCTATTATTAATGACAATTCAATTTAATAGATATTGTTATATGCTTATAATTTAAATTATTAATCACAATTAAATTAATGTTTCATCAAGACAAGTGGTAGGCAGTGGCTTGGCTCTGCCCCTGGCATTGCTGAATTCCATGGGCGACGGTAATCACTCACCATCAGGTGGGCCATGTGCTCGTGCTGCCTACAAGGGCAATAAAAAAAAAGTCTAAATATTTTATTTTAACAGAATCAATACATTGTTTTCTGAGAATTTTACCTAACTTAAACAATTAAACATTATCGCTCGTTAGACGAGTCATTGAATTTGCCAGCTCAAATTACATTCAACAGGTCCACAATTTCTTACTGGAATAAAGTGCACCTCAAACTTTTGACATATAGCATTCTGCACTATATACTTTTCTGTAAGTAAATGTGAGCTGATTCATCAAATTTACATATATATGTAAAGAAGTACTTACTCGATTTCCGTCGAACTAATATGAGTTATGAAAGGGAACAACAAATACTGCTGTAGTTCTTGCACAACATCTTTCTTTAATTTTGTTATCTTATTAACGAAGTTTGAGACAGTATCTGCCGTGGGACATACCATAAGCATGTCGCAAACGGGCTTAATACGATTAAAAGCTTCTTTTAAAACAGGATTCATTTTGATGTGTTGCGTTTTTACCACTTGAATTCATTCACTGTATTTAACACGTTTGTTTCACAAAATACACAAATTATACATTTTATATTATTTTTTACCGAGAAGCGCATTTACACGATGATTTGATAAGCATTTTGTGTGTTTTATAAATTGAATTGTTGAACAAAAACAACACTCGTGAGATCGATCAATAATCGGGTGCATTTCAAAATCTTGTATGACAGATCTTATTCATCTAGTTGTCAAACATGTTTTATCTTTCTCAGTCTTTTCACATAAAATGAAATAGCAGATGGCGACAGTATAAGGTTTAAGTGCACTGATGCCTTTATTTGTTCGTTTCCATATTGAATAGAGGGAACTCGCTCTCGCCCCGTCATCTGACGGCCGGAGTCACGCAAGGCTCCACGCTCTCCCCGTTAATTTGTATGTCAACGATATACCCCGGTCTCCAGAGACCCATCTAGCGCTCTTCGCCGATGACACGACTATCTACAGCTCGTGTAGGAAGATGTCGTTGCTGCATCGGCAACTCCAGATCGCAGTAGCCACCATGGGACAGTGGTTCCGGAAGTGGCGCATTGACATCAACCTCACGAAAAGCACAGCGGTGCTCTTCATAAGGGGTCGCCCCCTAATACCACTTTGAGCAGACCATTTCCTAATAAGCGCATTAACACCTCCGCCATTCGCCCCTTCACTCTCTTTGGCCAGCCCATACCATGGGCCTCGAGGGTCAAATATCTAGGCGTCACAGAGGGATGAAAATTCGATCGACAGAGGGATGACAATTCGACCCCACATTAAAACGGTACGCGACCGTGCCGCCTTCATATTAGAACGTCTCTATCCCATGATTTCCAAGCGAGGTAAATTGTTCCTTCTTATTATGATGACACTCTACAAAACTTGCATATGCCCCGTTATGATCTATGCAAGTATAATGTTCGCTCATGTGGCTCGCACTAACTTGAAACCCCTTCAAGTCATTCAATACCGTTTTTTCAGGATAGCCATCGGAACACTATTTCTTAAGGAATGTGGATCTCCATGATGACCTGGAGCTTGACTCAATCAGTACCTAAGTATTTACAGTTGGCATTATTGCGCCACTTTGAGAAGGCGGCACGACACGAAATTACATACCCGGTCCTGTGGACCGAATGGTAAACAGTCAACGTCACCCTAAGCACGTCATTACGGATCCTCCCGATCTATTAACGGTGCTTTTAGGTACCCAAAGCATCGATCGCCGTCCTCACCGAACCAGTCGCTTGCGACGAAGGGCTCGACGAGTAAAACCCATATACACAGCCCGATGAGTTTCTCGCCGGATCTTCTCAGTGGGTCGCGCTTTCGATCCAGTGGTAGATTTTGCGAAGCACTGTTCTAACTAGGATCAGCTAACCTTCACATTAAGGCGAAGCTCTCAAGGCCAAAGAAAGCCCTTATCACTATCAGTCATGCTGTACAGTTAAAAGTAAACGTAAAGGGTGATGTCGCAACGGTTATTTTCTTTATAACGTAAACACATGATGCATCTGAAATTTATACATTTTTATGATTACATCAAATCAGATTTATACAACACTGAACCCTTTGATGTACGGGGTATTATATGTGCTCATCTTAAGCAAGACACACTTGGAAGGTAGTGATGACCATGGTATTAGGATCGCTATTTTAACTTATCTCAATAAAACGTGGGTGTCGTAACAAGTGACTCAGGGATTCACCAAAAAATATGCAATAATTTGAACATTATTATGAATTATTATTTATTAAGTTAGAACCACTTATCCTGTCTATTTCTGCCACGAAAAAATCGTACGATCCAGCTTGAAAAATGAGACATTCGTTTTACAATACCTTTGAGATTTCTACCTTTTTTTTCAGGCCGAAAGCCGAACCTCTTACGAGGTCCCCGCGCATTGGGGCGCGCGGGGTATGATGGGACTTGACGATCAGTAGATGTTGGGAGCAGACAGCGGGCCCGAGGACGTTTTAGGGCCCTACCGCACTAAACAACTCCTCTGCACTCTGACACCCGACGTTCGATCTCTGCCCGGGGTCAGAACCCGGTCAGTTTAAGGGGTTTCCCGCGGTCAACACTACAACCAGACTCGCGGCACCTCCCTTATGACGCCCAACCGACGGATTGTCGAGGCGATTGTCGACGACCAACGACGCCGGTCTCCGTGGTACGGTGGCCCTACCAAGCCACCCAGGCGATGCCGCTGGTGTTCCGGAATGTCCCGCCAGGTCAAAACCTTGTTGCTCTTCCATAGTATGTTCGCAAGCTGCCTCGAACGAGAAAACTTACATACGCTCCGTCATGACGTAGGCAAGCGTAGTGTTCGCTCACGCGGCCCGCACCAACTTGAGACCCCTTCAGGTTATATATACAATCCCGATTCTGCAGGATAGCCGTCGGAGCACCATGGTTCCTAAGGAACGTAGATCTCCACGATGACCTGGAGCTCGACCCCGTCAGTAAGTATCTTTAGACGGCATCGCTGCGTCACTTCGAGAAGATGGCACGACATGAGAACCCTCTTGTCGTGGCCGCTGGAAACTACATAGGTACCAGATCCTGTAGACTGAATGGTAAACCGTCGACGTCGCCCAAAGCACGTTATCACGGATCCTCCTGATCCATTAACGGTGCTTTTAGGCACTACAAGCACCGGTCACCGTCCTCGTCGAACCCGTCGCTTGCGACGAAGGGCTCGACGAGCGAATTAACCCACAGACACAGCCCACTGAGTTTCTCGCCGGATCTTCTCAGTGGGTCGCGTTTCCGATCCGGTGGTAGATTCTGCGAAGCACTGCTCTTGCTAGGGTCAGTGTTAGCAACTCTCCGGTTAGAGCCCCGTGAGCTCACCTACACACGCTAGGGTAAGCTGACATAGCCTCTCAAGGCTATCAGCATAGTTAGGAAAAAAAAAAATTAAAAAAATCGAACGAGACGGTGTGGTGCCCGTGAACTTCCCTGACCGTAATCACTCGCTGCGGACGTCGCAACGCCACGATGCGACGTTGTCGTGGGTCAGGGCTTGGCACTACACGGGAGTCCCATACAGTGCCACCCCCGAGTAGAGGCGGGGCACCACCATGTCAGGCCATCCGACATTCGGCAATAGCTGACTCAGCGAGCTGGCAGGACGGTACTTGGTGTAACTACTTACACCAGGCGAGCCCAGGATTTGTTCAATTTTGCAAACATACTTTTTGTTTATACTTTGTATAGCGGAAAAAAAGAATTCCAATAAAAACTTATTATAAACTTAGAAGTTATTCAGTTGTATTCTTTTTTTAAATTCATTTAAACGATTTTCGTTTTTGAATCATATAAGGTTGTCGATATTGACAATAAGCTATGCGAAGCTACAGCTGCAAAATTTGATATACCAAGCATCAAGGGGATTTGGCGATTGATTTTATGTTGACATAAAATTGTACCAGTAAATTACGTCGTCGTGGCCCAAAAGGATAAGACGTCCGGTGCATTCATATCTAGCGATGCATCGGTGTTCGAATCCCGCAGGCGGGTACCAATTTTCCTAATGAAATACGTACCTACTTAGCAAATGCTCACGATTGACTTCCACGGTGAAGGAATAACATTGTGTAATAAAAATCAAACCCGCAAACTTATAATTTGCGTAATTACTGGTGGCAGGACCTCTTGTGAGTCCGCGCGGGCAGATACCACCACCCTGCCTATTTCTACCGTGAAGCAGTAATGCGTTCGGTTTGAAGGGTGGGGAAGCCGTTGTAACTGTACTTGAGACCTTAGAACTCAAAGTGGGTGGCGCATTTACGTTGTAGATGTCTATGTGCTCCAGTAACCACTTAACACCAGGTGAGCTGTGAGCGCGTCCACCCATCAAAGAAAAAAAAAACATAAAAATCTTTTATTCATTTATTGAAAACGAACTAATCGATTATAATTGGAAAGATTTTCGAGTGTTTTCATAATAAACAGCTTCTTTTTATTTTAAAAAAATTGGCATATTATTATGGAATTTACCGGAGTTCTGCCCAGTTCTTTCTAATTTACCCAGCATTTATGGAGAATTTTAATCTACAATTTATCCTACACCGGTAGGTACCTACCTACTAGCTTTTAAAATTAGAACTGTCAAAGTCAGGTGTTAATTGTGACTGTCAAAATAAGAAACGAAGAAATGGCATTGAGTTTAATCGAATTATCCTGTTAAAGATCATGTTTTTGATAATTTTATAGTGTATGTAAAATACATTAAAATGTTTTCTCTAACGGGACGCAGGCATTTACATAAGGTCCTCAAAACTTTGAGGTTATCCTTTGCCGATTTTAGCAATTTACCCGATATAAAGAAGTTGAATGCGGTGAGGACTGTCGAGAAGACGATAGATAACAATACGAGTATTTTTGTGGAGAGTCCCATACATGTTAAAATTCAGCCCATTGATGTGAATGATTTAAATGCTCATAATAAACTTACTATGACTCTGTACAGTCACGGCAAGGATGCGAGCGATTTCCAAGTTAAACAGACTTCCAAACGGCTAGAATTGTTAAACAAGAACACCGCCTCAGATAAAAACGACGTATGTCTGATTCAGGTACCTTACCAGCTAAAAGTTCAGGTTTCGACTTCCGATAATGCTTCTGTTCACCTTTCAAAATTAGAAGGCGATGAATTTATAGTTAAAACACAGAAAGGGGCTGTGAACGTGACAGATATCAAAGCGCAGAATATTAAAATTGAAACTGTCGAAGGAGAAGTCACAACTGAAGGTAGAATACAAGCAAGCAATATTGAACTCAAAACAGGCTTAAATTCTGGCATTAAGTGTCATAATGTTATGGCTAATTCCTTCATTGTCAGCACACATGCCGGACCCATAGCTGTAAAGTCATGTTACAGTGATAATTCACATTTCACAACATTGATGGGTAACATTCGTCTTGACCACTTACATAGATCTGTGTTGATTGACATCATCCAGCGAGGGAACTTACACATAACTGGATTCTCGGGGAATATCCAGGCCAGCCTAAAAAGTGGTGAGGTCTACATGCATGCATCACAGTTGATGGAAAAAAGCAGTATCTTCATTCATGAAAAAGGCAAAGTTGAACTTCTCATTCCAGATATAATAAATAATTTGCCAGCAACAAATCTGATAGCTGAAAAAATTACTGTTGATGATAAAATATTGAAGCTTGGAAGATTCATGGATGATTCACATCCAAAAAGGTTTCGATTTGAAAAGGAACCACATAATGAGTTGCATATAGTGTGTAAGAATGGCTCGATTGATTTGAAAGAAACAGATCTCCCGTTTATAGTGTGATTGCTGCAATTCTAATAGTTTTTTTTTTTTTTGTAAATATTATATTGTATTTTACTATGTTAGTAAGACTTGAATGTTATTTATTTTTTTAATTAAAAATAGTGTTTATAATTTTGTTTAAATACATCAAGTTTTATTTGAAACTACACTGTAATTCAAGTGTAATCTATAGAACAAGAAATCCTAAGTGTTTAAGGATTTTATTCCAAGTATTAATTTATTTTTACACAATGACATTTGGTGAATCTACCTTTTTTAAAGGTCATTGTTATAGTGGTTTTGTTAAATGAATGCTGTATTACTACTGTGTAGTATTATTTATATATTTAGTTAGTTTACATAGAGATTGACAATGGCAAGAGTGAGCGGTTGTATCTTGAAAACATAGTTTGTTAGTAACTCAGCTTTTTGGTAGATTTCTTCCATTGTATGATAATCAACCCAGGGGTACTAAGGTCAGAAGAACTAGGAAACCAATCTACGACTAAATACTTCCATGCCAATATGGCTTGTGGTAGGTGAGAATCACGTTTTCATGTCAACTGGTTTAACTAACTGCTTAACAAGTTACTATGTAGGCCTTCAGTGCTTGCTCGTCTTAATGGCGAGGTATCCGGAAACGGAACCTGGATAAATTAGCGGTTGGCTAAATCAATAAATACTTAGACCGTTTTTGGAACCTAAAAGACATAACACAGAGAATCAAATACCCTTTGTAAATTCAGAGTTTCCGAATAATTAAAAAGATTATAAAGAGATCTTTTTATGGAGATAATGTGAGACACCTAATAACAGTATATGAGACAATGACTAATAATTCCGAGCGGGTCCCAAGGTTCGTTTATATAAAAAAACTATTAAAAATGTATTTAGCAGCGAAGTCTGTGCTGTTTGAACAATTATTATTTCTGCCATTTCAATTCAGATCGTATGCGAAGTTTTTTTTTTTTTGCTTAGATGGGTGGACGAGCGCATAACACATCTGGTCTTAAGTGGTTACTTGAGATAAAAGTTCTAAGGTCTCAGTATAGTTACAGTTGAAAATATGACCACCTCTGGCTCTAGGTTTGATATATTATCTAAGTATAGTAAATTTTAAATTATAGCAATATTAAAGTTTAATTATTAATTTATTTAAATCATTCTAGAACACAACTGTGTTCACTAACTAATTAGAGTAGGTCTTGTTTAGGTAATTAAAACAACTTTTATGCCTCTTTCTTGCGTAAAAGTGGTAATAATTTATACCTACCTTGTCCAGAAATCGCGAACACCGAAGAAAATACTTTAGTACTAATTTGTCAAGGCGTCTGCGTATTGTGTTGTCTAAAAAATTGGTCATAAGAGAGTGAAGTTATTAATAGATATTAATATAATTACGTGTGCAAAAACATATTGAATTGTTCTATTATTGAATCGTTATGGTATCTTATTATAGAATGTTACGACGTTGAAGATGTGTATGTGGTTTATCACGTAGTCCAATTGTGGAGAAATAAATTATTATCATTAGTTTTAGTCTTTTTCTTAACTATCCTTAATTGTTTACAAACGATTACTATCATTCCGTAATATTTTGTTTATTTTTAACTAGGTAATTGTTAATTGGGTACAAAGATGAGTTAGTGCTGAGCGGCGGGGCGCTGCTTTATTCTGATAACGAGGCTGTTTATATGCGCGAGCGTCGCTGCCGCGCGTCAGTCACTCCGCCATGCCGGCCTGTGCGCCTGAGTTTTCCCGCCTCGCGCGTTCTAACACAGAGCTAGTCTTTTCGCCGCGCAAGAGATGCTCTCACCAGCCACCACCTTTCACGGCTTTGAGGCGATCTTTCTCGTCAACGTTTTCGCTTATACCAGAAGAACGTGCCATTAGCCCCGAGCGACCACCGCCCGTGCCGCACCTGATTCGACTCCTCACCTGGGGACCTCGTCTAATGCTGCGCCCGGTCTTCGCTCTCCTCAGCATTGTCTCGCATCCGGCTTGGAAACAAATATTAGTGGTACTACCGACGCTGTGGATTGCTGCTTCGCTGTTTATATTTTGGAAATGTGTGCAGTGCCCTATAAGTGTTCTTAAGATGATTGCTCGAGTTATTAGTTCGAAGGGGAATAACAAGCCTCGGACAGTCCTCATCAGTGGCGGCAGTTCAGTGCAAGCTTTACATTTGGCGAGGAATTTCCATTCGGCCGGTGCGAGAGTAGTGGCTTTCGAAATAGAAGGACAGTTTGCGCTACTGAAATACTCAGCAGCTGTTCATAAATTCTATTCAGTGCCGAGGCCTAATCCCGCTGATCCTCTTGCCTATGCTCGAGCATTAAAAGCGATAGTGGAACAAGAGTCTGTTGTATTCTACGTGCCGGTGAGTTCAACGACACCGGCCTATTATGACGCTCTCGCAAAACCACACATGGAAGTGGTGGGATGTCAATGTTTTGTTCCTTGCGCTCGAGATGTCGTCACACTGGATGATCCCTTGGAATTAATGCGAGTTAGTCGTGCGGCAGGACTGATCACTCCGCAATTCTGGGTCGTAGCGAGTGACGAAGATGTTCGCGCGTGGTACGACAGCGGAGCTTCTAAAGAGGGACGTCACTTCATTGCGAGCGCTGGAGCCCGAGGTGCTCGTGATCGCTTACGTTTTGTGATGCCCGAAGAGAAAACACAATTCAGATTCCCCCGTGAAATCAGCGCTGAAAAGCCTTGGGTCATTGTCCGAGAGCCTAAAGGAGAAAAAATCGTTACGTGCACAACTCTGAAGGAATCTCGTGCGGTCAATAATGTTACGTGCCGCGTGGATGCTGCCCGCAAAGGTCTCGTTCCACAGAAAGATGACGAAGCTGACGCTTGGGTTCAAAGATTCGTGTCTTTCCTTGCGCCGGTCAGGCCCATGACGGGCCACGTGTCGTTCAGGCTCGTTCGTGAAGAAAATCCATCGAACGGGCACTCGAATAAGCTTATAGCCATCGGTGCGAGGGTTGGAGTGTCTCTACCGTACTTATGTCAAGGGCAGACCAGGTGCGGACACGCGGCGGCCGTCGGGAAGCTGCTGGATACAGTTTTGGACACGCGCGAAGCATTATTCGCGTTTTGGGACCCGCTGCCGTACTGCGCGTACTACCAGTCCAGAATGCCGGAAGACCGACGGTCGCTGCCGCCGGAGCCGTGCAAGACACCACCGAACGTTCCCCTCTGAAACCACTGTTTTTCAGCGTAGGGATTATTTATTATAGACACTCAAGTACCTGAAGAGTGCACTAGTGAGCACTCTGTCGGCGCGTGCCGTAACTAAGTCTGTTGCTCTCTTTTTGTTGTAACCTCGACGCGCTTGGGACTCGCAAGCGATAGGTCGAGGCAACGACACGACATATTGTAACTACTAAGTAGATTATTTTATAAGCACTTCATTGAATTACTTTGTATACTATTTTATATTAAGACGTGTAATAAAGATGGATTTAAAATAAAAACACTGTTTTTCTTTTAAGCATCCTTCGGTTAAGCATCATCCTTTAAGCGTCACGTAGGCACTGTGACTTTGTCGTATTAATTAATTACAAGTTTATATGTTTCATAATGAGCACGTTTTAGTCGAGATAACTACTTGTGTCCAATATAAAATGGAAAATTCCAGTCGAGAGAAAGTCAAGGGTCGTCAACTGATGACTTTAAGACTACAAACAATAATTTTAATGATAAAATGATTAATCCATTTCATAACATTCAAACAAATAAATATTTTAAATTTAGAATCGGTTCATTTCCCTTCTGTTATTTTCAGCTTTATTTGGTACACAGAATGAATCACAATGTCCGATCTGGAATTGTATTTATATATTCATTTACCCAGATCTTCAAGGTGGCGTTATTTTCTTTGCAGTACAAAAATACTCACTTTATTATCACACGGATGCAGCGTGAATTATGCTAATAATTAATTATGGAAAAAAATCTTTATGTAATTTACATTTTATCACACACAGATAATATAGGTTATTTTATTGATTGTGAATTAATCAAATAAGTAAGTATAAACTTCAAAAACACCCGGTAAGCAATGGCTGCATTCACTCTGTGATTACTGTGATTGTTTAACATAAAATGGCCTGTGAGTTGGTTTGTCAATTCAGAGCATAATTAAAGATATTTTAACCCGCCGAAAGTCTAAGAGGACATAAACGCCCGCGTAAGTATGTTTCATACGTTGTATACGTGTTTAAAAATATATATATTGCATATAGACGGATGTAGGAGTTCATCGATATTACCATTTAGTGGTTACTGGAGACCACACACGCAGTGGACACATGTGGTCTCAGCTCAATTGTATTGTATGTAGTATAGTTATTCTGCCGCCGTTTAAACCGAAACGCATTTCTCTACAGTGTGCTTAGTGCGAGTTTTTTAACGTTCTTGATAGCGTAAAAGTTTGAGTTATAAAAAAAGGGGTCGAATCTACCCGCACGGGACACCGTACCACAAGTCGTTACGAAAATTATATAACTATAGCGACCCGCCCTCGCTTCGCTTCGGAAACATTAAAACACACATGAAACCAAAAAAAATAAAAAAAATAAATAAAAAAAAAGTAGCCTATGTTCATCAGGGACAATGTCGGCTTCTAATGGAAAAAGAATTTTTCAAATCGGTCCAGTAGTTTCGGAGCCTATTCGAAACAAACAAACAAACAAATCTTTCCTCTTTATAATATTAGTATAGATATAGATTTCCTGCTAGTTTGGTTTTTGTTACACGAAGACAGTTCTTGATCGTGAGACTCATTCGTAAACATGACTGCCTATACGTATCTCCTTAGAAAATATTAGGGGTTCAGCGTGTCAGGACTTTATCCAATTAAATAAAGTTGGATTTGTGATAATTTGATGTAATTTTATTGTATTTCACTTCGTGCGCTGTACGATGTGTTCGTGAGGTCGCCTACCGCTTTATTTGAACATCCTTTCCTAAATCACTATTATAAAGCCTAAGGATTTTTTTACCATAAATAATGTTTTGTTGGTTCTGTATAAAAATATTTATTTTACAACAGGAAGATGGTATTGAGCGGATGTGACTAGGAGATGTATGGAAATGGTGTGCAAGGTACAGGGGGAAGAGGTCGACCGAAGAAGACATGGATGGAGTATGTGAATGACGATATGAGAAAGAGAGGAGTGAGTTTGGAGATGAGGGCTGATAGAAGAGAATGGAATAGAAAAATTCGCTGTGCCGACCCCACCTAGTGGGATAAGGTGGAGACAAAGGAGAAGAAAAGATGGTATTGATCGGAAAGTCCGATAGAATGTGTAAAAAATTCAAATTTTAACAAAAAAGAATTCTACTTCTACAAAAGAAAACAAGAATATCATCAAGGTAGTCGTAATCGATTTAACGTGATTTATTATGGATGTCTCAAAAACAACTGATCAGATTTTGATAAAATTTAAATGGAACTAAATGAGCAGCATTCAAATGGGAATCATTGAGAACGGTTAACCTAGAAAAAAAAAATTACAGACCAAAAAGTATAATCGAATTGAGAACGACCTTCTTCTTTGATGTTAAAAAAACAAACTTTAATCAAAGGCGCAAAATTTGTACTAAGTTAAACTTGTTTGTGAAAGTCGTACCACCCATCCAGCCTGTTCTAAGTTTTAAGGGCGTGTCTTCAAGTGTGACTTAGACCTCATTTTTCAAATATGAATGGCATTATTGTTATTCTGTAGCTGTCGGCGTTTTTTGGTCACCTTACAACATCTATGTAACTTACCTGTAACTTACTTGAGACCTTAGAACTTATATCTCAAGATGGGTGGCGTATTTACGTTGTGGATGTCTATGGGCTCCAGTAACCACTTAACTCCAGGTGGGCTGTGAGCTCGTCCACCTATCTAAGCAATAAAAAAAAAATCTATATCATGATAAGAAAATCTACTCAGTACACTACTTTATCAATACTAATATATGTCTATGTAAAAAGTCCGATAGAAGTCCGGAATTGTATGCGCACTACGCATAAAACTACTGGACATATTGAATTATTTTTAAGTGTTACTTTTTGCGTTAAATTTCATTTATCATCTTCATACTTTACTGGTGGTAGGACCTCTTGTGAGTCCGCACGGGTAGGTAAAACCGCCCCGCCTATTTCTGCCGTGAAGCAGTAATGCGTTTCGGCTTGAAGGGTGGGGCAGCCGTTGTGACTATACTGAGACCTTAGAACTATATCTCAAGGTGTGTGGCGCATTTACGCACTTCGATAAAGCGGCACGACACGAGAACCCTCTCATCGTGGCCGCCGGTAACTACATTCCCGATCCTGCGGACAGAATGGAAAGCAGTCGACGTCGCCCAAAACACGTCATCTCGGATCCTCCCGATCCACTAACGGTGCTTCTAGGTACTTCAAGCACCGGTCACCGTTCTCATCGAACCCGTTGCTTGCGACGAAGGGCTCGACGAGTAAATTAACTCCCAGACACAGCCCACTGAGTTTCTCGCCGGATCTTCTCAGTGGGTCGCGTTTCCGATCCGGTGGTAGATTCTGCGAAGCACGGCTCTTGCTAGGGTTCGTGTTAGCAACGTCATCAGGTTTGAGCCCCGTGAGCTCACCTACAAAAGTTAGGGTTACGCTGACATAGCCTCTCAAGGCTCTCAGCTCAGGAAGGAAAAAAAAAAAAAAAGCATTTACGTTGTAGATGTTTTTGGGCTCCAGTAACCACTTAAAACCAGGTGGGCTGTGAGCTCGTCCACACATCTAAGCAATAAATAAAAAAAAACATAGTTAATAAACTTTAATAGTATGGTCGATAGATGGCGCTTTTTTCTGAATCGTTTTGTGGATTTGATGCGAAATGGTTTGATTTCAAAATGTATCTCCAAATTAATACTTTAAGTAGACGAAGTCGGAGGACACAGCTAGTTATAGTTACGAAAATAATTGTCTGTCAGATTTTTCTTTGTCTGTCACATTGTCTCACTCAAACCATCGAATCGATTTTGACGATTTTTTTTTATTTATTGCTCTTGCAGGCAGACGAGTATAAACCCCACCTGATGGTGAGTGGTTACCGTCGCCCATGGACTTCAGCAACGCCAGGGCAGAGCCGAGCCGCTGCCTGCCGTTAAAACCGTTTGATGTAGAAAAGGTTTGAGTTGCACCTCGGGAAATAAAATAGGATATTTTTTTTTCGACTACGAAGCGACGCCTACGCAATACATAGCGCAGTTCATGCATGTTCATACCCATCCCGACAGGAGCCCTCTTCTTCGATATAGCGAAGGCGTTCGACAAAGTCTGGCACAACGGTTTGATATACAAACTGTATAACATGGGAGTGCCAGACAGACTCATGAGCACGAGTCTGTCTGGCACTCCCATACGAGACTACTTGTCGAACCGTTCGTTCCGATATCGAGTCGAGGGAACGCGTTCCCGGCCCCGTCACGTCACAGCCGGAGTCCCGCAAGGCTCTGCCCTCTCCCCGTTACTATTTAGTTTGTATATCAATGATATACCCCGGTCTCCGGAGACCCATCTGGCGCTCTTCGCCGATGACACCGCCATCTACTACTCGTGTAGGAAGAAGGCGTTGCTTCATCGACGACTTCAGACCGCAGCTACCACCATGGGACAGTGGTTCCGGAAGTGGCGCATCGACATCAACCCCACGAAAAGCACAGCGGTGCTCTTCAAAAGGGGTCGCCCTCCGAACACCACGCTGAGCATCCCCCTCCCGACTAGGCGCGTCAATACCCCCGCCCCCGCCGTTCGCCCAATCACGATGTTCGACCAGCCCATACCGTGGGCCCCGAAGGTCAAATATTTAGGCGTCACCCTCGACAGTAGGATGACATTCCGCCCCCACATCAAGACGGTACGCGACCGTGCCGCCTTCATTCTAGGACGTCTCTACCCGATGATATGTAGGCGAAGTAAAATGTCCCTTAGAAATAAGGTGACACTCTACAAAACTTGCATACGCCCCGTCATGACCTATGCAAGTGTAGTGTTCGCTCACGCGGCCCGCATACACTTAAAATCATTCCAAGTCATTCAATCCCGTTTTTGCAGGATAGCCGTCGGAGCCCCGTGGTTCGTCAGGAACGTCGACCTCCATGACGACCTGGACTTAGAGTCCACCAGTAAGTATATGCAGTCGGCGTCAATGCGCCACTTCGATAAAGCGGCACGACACGAGAACCCTCTCATCGTGGCCGCCGGTAACTACATTCCCGATCCTGCGGACAGAATGGAAAGCAGTCGACGTCGCCCAAAACACGTCATCTCGGATCCTCCCGATCCACTAACGGTGCTTCTAGGTACTTCAAGCACCGGTCACCGTTCTCGTCGAACCCGTCGCTTGCGACGAAGGGCTCGACGAGTAAATTAACTCCCAGACACAGCCCACTGAGTTTCTCGCCGGATCTTC